TTTTTTTTTTTGAAGGCCACTTGACAATTTTAGAGAAGTGTAGCATAAAAATTCAAGAGGTTTTTTTTCGACCTTCTCCACAGAAATACTGTGATGTATAACTGCACAGCCCAGTATTTTCTGAGGCTCTGCATCTGGCATCACTGCTTCTTGGGCAGGAACAGCTATATACACAAATTCAATATTGACGTTTCTATGCTGTTCTGAGGCAGCCTACATGTTTGCAGTGTTAGTGCAATAATTCTGAGGATTCAAATATTCTTTGTCCTCCACAACACACTCATGCACCAGCATGGCTTCTGCAGTCTGGGCAAGTAGTTTGATGATGSTTCTTCTACACTTTCAGCAACCAGTACTGATGCTTCCCCACCTGTAGTCAATAYCAGGCTCAATAGAAGAATTAGTCTGATGCAATGATTTTAGAATTCAGGTCTAATTTCCCAGCTCCATTATTTCCAAACATTTTGTTCCTAAAGGTTAAGCAAAGGTGAAGCCATTCACATTTTTCTATTCACCCATTCTTACAGAATATTCACTTGGGTGTTCATACTTACTGAACAGCAGAAATATTTCACTTATCAAAGCCCATTACTGCTGCTGCAACAGCAATTTTGCTGCAGGTCACTTGTTACCCTTGCAGGCACAAGATGTGCACCAAATGCCACCTCCTCATCCTCTACTGTGATTAAAATATGCCACAAGAAGAATGAGAAACAGAAGTGTTTTGAGCTAGGAAGACAATTTTTAACACAAAGATAAAACAGAAGCCGAATCCAACTACATTGTTTCTATAGCGCTCCCACACAAAAATTCCATTCTAGATAATGCTTTCCTCAGAGGGAGTTTGTTTTGCTGCTCATTCTACATCTACTTGTTGTCCAAGACAGAACAAGCTCTCAGCCACAAGCTACTACAATTAGTCTTTGACTATTGGGGTGAAAGAGAATAAAAGGAGGACATGCTAGAAGAAATTCTTTCCTTCACACACACACTCCACAGAGCATAAGCCTTTCTGACTGCTCATAGCTAAAGGCAACTTCAGACTTGAGGCTTTTAAAGCAAGCAGAGGAAGAGCATCTTGCYCTACAAGAGACCTTGACACTTCTCTTTTAAGTCTCTTGACAGTCTGGATTCTAAAAGAGAGCACACTTTAACGCCATGAGCTTGTTATAACCAGAATCAAGACCCTGTACTCATTAATCACCTATTAACTACTTACACTGTTTTGATAGACTTCTTGTATCTCTCTCGAAGATATCCCTCCCCTTAGACAGCAGCATTGGTGGGAGAGGGGAGATAAACACTGTATGCTACATAAACTGCAAACACTCCATCATTATGCCCTTTGTTATACTGAAGTRCTAAGAACCTACAGATAGCGGACCACACATGGCATACTGAATCCCAAAGCACACTGGCACAGTTCACTTCACTCACCAGTATGCTTCTCCCGACTCTGTCCCTTGTTCATACCTTACAGCTGCCATTTTTCCTGTTGTGGCAATGCTGGCCTGAAGAGAGACACACCGAGTTAAAGGGAGACAGTACAAGAAACAGCGAATGCCAACAACCTATAGTAACCTCACACTCAGGGTCCCAGAAGACAGACTTCTGCTTCAATTGCAACTATTTCCCCCTCCAGCAGATAAAACTCAATCTTTAACTATAACATTGGTGAGAGTCAGGGCATGCAGCACTGTGGTGTTTTTTGACAACACCAAACATGCCACAAGATAACAGCATCTTTACCCCACATACGAAGAACTGCGCCCTGCTTCAGGCTCTGAAACACAGAAGAGCCGCAGCTGGCACCTCTGGGAGAGCGGTAGGCGCGGGCTGAACGCGGGGAGCAGGTCCAGGACTGCCGGCACACAGCGGCTTCCCGGACGGGAGGCCCGCACTTGGTCCCCGCTGGCGCAGCACCACTCCCATCACCCCCCACCCGGAGCCCTCTCCCCCACCTCACCTCGGCGCGGCCGCCGGGATCAAAGTCGAGCCTGGACACCCGCCCCCGGCGGACTCAGCGGAAAGTTGAGTTAAACTTCCTGAGGACTGTATCCCAGCCCTCCCTCCCGCCTCCCGGACGCGCCGCCAACCCCTCTCACCCGCCGAGCCGAGGCCGAGGCGCGGAGCACGGATACGCCGCAGCGCCCCCAGGCCGCGGATAAATGTCCCGGCGGTGCCGCACGGCTGCACCTGGGCCGGGCCGGGCCGCGCCAGGCGGAGCCACCCGCTGCCATGACAACAGCCCCGCCGCCGTCCCCACACCGCCCGCGCAGGCCGCGGCCGCGGGGGGCAGCGAAGTCCCCGTCCCCCTGCGGGGCGTTCGTGGACGACACCAAGTTGGGTCGGAGTGTCGATCTGCTGGAGGGTAGGAAGGCCCTGCGGAGGGTCGTGGACAGGATGGATYAATGGGACGAGATCAACAACRTGAGGTTCAACAASTCCAAGTCCCAGGTCCTGCACTTTGGCTACAACCCCCTGCAGTGTTACAGGCGGAAGGCAGAGTAGCTGGAAAGATGCCCGGCAGAAAAGGACCTGGGATGTTGGTTGACAGTCGCTGAACGTGAGCCAGAGTGTGCCCAGATGACCGAGAWGGGAAATGRCATCCTGGCCTGGATCAGCAACAGTGTGACCAGCAGGACCAGGGCAGGGAGTTCAGTGCTGGTGAAGCCACGCCTAGGGTATTGTGTCCAGTTCTGGGGCCCTCATTTTGGAAAGTACATTGATGTACTGAAGTGGGACTAGAAAAGGAMAACGGAGCTGGTGAAGGATCTGGAGTGCAAGTCGTAGGAGAAACAGCTGAAGGAGCTRGGAGTGTTTACCTGGAGAGGRGGAGGGTCACTCTTTACAACTACCTGACAGGAGGATGTAACCAGGTGGGGGTCAGCCTCTTCTCACARGTAAATAGTGACAGGACATGAAGACTTAATCTTAAACTCCACSAAGGGAGGTTTAAATTGGACATTAGGAGGAATTCCTTCACAGAAAAGTTGACAAGATACTGGAACAGATTACCCAGGGTGGAGGTGGAGTTACGACCCCTGGAGATGTTTAAGGAAACAGTGGGCGTGGCCCTTGGTGCCATGGTCTAATCGACATGGAGATATTTGGTCACGGGTTGGGCTTGATGATCACAGAGGTCTTTTCCAGCCTAATCGATTCTGTAATTCTCTGTGGGGCCACACTCCCCCGGCCCACCAGACCCCAGCCAGGCTGCCCAGCCAGGCCTGCCACCTGCTTCCGAGTCCTAGCCTCACGGTTTTTGCACACTTTGCTGCTGCTGTGGTTTGATGCCTCTCAGTGCCTTTCCCATGGCACGGCTGCATTGAGGGGGCTGCACTCGAGGCAGAGCCAGTGCAGGTGGGGCAGGGGCTGCAGGCCAGCCAGGCCCCTACAGCCTGTGGCAGCTCTTGCCATCATCAAGGGCAGAGCATGGCAGAGGGCACTTGGATTTTTCAGACGGCATCGAACACTTACGTTTTTGCAGAATCGGAGCCTTCAGAATGTGATGTATTACCCTGTGCTCTGCAGAGGCTTCACGCAGACCTCATTACTCGCTAACAGCCAAGTGACGAACACTCCTGAGCTTCCCACGGTACAACAGYGCTGCTGCAGCTGCTGAGGCTAGGGCTGCGCTAGAGAGGCTTTTTGCAGGACAGTCGGCACCAGAGGGAGCCCAAAGCGAGCTTTTAGCGGCCGCTCGCAGGGCGGCTGGGGCTTGGCAGGGAGAGATKCTGTAACTGATGGCAGGAGCCTTTCCGGATGCTCCCTGCCCAAAAGAAATTAAATCATCAAAGTGAATGCTGAGAATAAGGAACATGTCTCATCGGTACACTCTGAAAGTTTTCCTTTCAAATACGTGTATATATATATATATATATATACACATATACACATATACATATATATATATATATATATATATGTATATATAAACATAAATAGCTAGAGCAGACAGGGATAGCAAGTAACAGAAACATAGAATCATAGAATGTCCTGAGTTGAAAGGATCTACAAGGATCATTGAAGTCCAACTCCTGTCCCACTCCTGACACACCAAGAACCCTGAGARTGCTATYCAYATACTTCTTGAACTCTKTTAGGCTTGGTGCTGTGACCACTTCCCTGGGGATACTGTTCCARTGCCCAACCACCCTCTGGGTGAAGAACCATTGTCCAATATACAACCTAGACATCCTCAGACATAGCTTCTGGCGATTCCTTCAGGTCCCGTCATTGGGCACCACAGAGAAGATATCAGTGCCTGCCCCTCCACTTCCCCTCCTATGGAACCTCTATACAAGCCTTGTGGTATCCCGTCAGTTTCCTCTTCACCATGCTGAACAGATCAAGTGACCACAGCCACTCCTCAAATGGCTTCCYCTCAAGGGCCTTCACCATCTTTATCCTTTGGATGCTTTCCAATAGCTTGATGTCTTGTTTATACTGTGGCACTCAAAACTGCCCCAGAACTTGAGCTAAGGCTGCCCCAGTGCAGAGCAGAGCAGGACAATCCCCTCCCTTGCCCAGCAGTGATGCTGTGCCTGATGCCCCCCAGGAGGGTTGGCCCTCCTAGCTTCCAGGGCACTACTGACTAATGTTCAACTTGTCATTGACCAGGACCCATCCCATGTGTAGAATCTGACAACTCCTCTTTGTTAAACTTCATGAGGTCGGTGCTAAGTATGTTTGGTATATTYAGATAATTATGCATTTGAGAAGGAGCTAAAGAAGAATGGAAACTATGCTTGGTGATGAGAAGAAACATTCAATTAGATTTCTCTTAGTTCTAAAAAAATATACACATGCAGGTTGTTTAGAACAGGCTTGATCCTGTGGACAATGTGGGGATCCTCTGAGTTGCTCTCAGCAGGAGTTTACACTGTGGAGCATCTTCATGGAAAGTACCACATCAGAGAAGAGTGTATAAATACAAAAGTCCTGCCCTGGGCTCTGGGAGCACCAAGGTGTTAAGGCAGTTTGGGTATTGAAGTGGACTTCTCACAGAACAACCTGTAACAACCAGCCAAAGGAAGGGCTGGAGGTGGGAGGCTYCCAGTTTGGCATCCAGGCTGGATGCTGGGCCCAGCCAGCTAAAGGCTGCAGGTGCACTTTAAAAGGAAAAACAGCTCTTCCCAGTTTTCATCAAATAGATGCTGCAATGCCAGTGATACTAGTTGTCACTTACTGCTTCTTTCGATAATGCTCATCGTACAGTGTTGGTGACACTGTAGAATATTTGCCAGCTCTCATGTATCATCATGAGTTTCCTGGTGCTTGATCTAGTTTCTTAAAACCCTAACTTCTGGGATCAGATGACTAAAATAAAAACACCACACTTTTTACTAATCAAAATAAAATTTCTAGCTCTCAGCTGGTGGAGAAAAGCATAGGAGCAAGATTCAAGGTTCATAAAGCAAAAAGTAAAAATGAAGCATTAAAAGTATTCTGTTTTTAAAAGTTCAAGACTTGTAAATACTTTTCATTATATTTTGCTGGTTAAGCCATTATACTGATATATAATGACCCCTCAGAATCCAGTTCTGATCCTCTGACAATTTTKCATCAATGAAGAACAGCACAATTGTAAAAAAATTGCAAAAAAGATTGAAATATTCAGTAAATAATCCAGTTACRTACTGGCTAAAGAGCAGGATTAAGTATGCATTTCTCAGAGGGGTGATGACATACTTTACATTCCAAAAATAACAGAGATGGTGGTAAACAGAATCTCTTAACTTGACAGATTTTAAAATTGGTAGGTATTGCTCTTCTGTATCTGATTCTTTTAAGACAGACAAGAGAAATAATTACATTTTTATTAAGTCTTGAGACAGCAGAAATATGAAGATAGGTGGGTAAAAGATTAATTCTCTGCCAATATTAAAAATAGGGAGATCAGATGACCAGATGGTGATAAATTGTCAGCTTGGCTCTGCTGCCTGAGAAATGAGAGCAAGAATAGACAGAGTTTGGCAAATAAAATATTAAAGAAGGTTAATAGCATTAGCAGTAATAATAATAATAATAATAATAATAATAATAATAATAATAATAACAACAACAACAACAACAACAACAACAACATTTGATTAGGGAAAGTGTGTCAAGCTAAAATAAGATTGCAAGCTTTGCTTCTAAAATGAAAGTATTTTGTTGCTTCTGTAAGCAGCTGACTGGATAGAAAATAATTTTCATTAAAAAGGTAGAAGAATATAAACTCAATCTAGAGCACATTGATGTTAGAGCAGCACACTAGTCTTAAAATAACTAAAAAAAAAAAACCGTATCCTTAAGCAATTCTTTTCCTGAGAGATTCTGCAGGGATTGGGTGTTGCCTTACAGTGTTCAATGATGTGTTGTTTTGTTTTTAACCATGGGCCAGATAAAATCCTGAGAGATGAAGTTTGCAGCTGATACAGAGGCTGTAACCATGGTAGAATAGGAAGGAATGACTGTCTGGCACTGAGTAAATTGTAACTTACATCCACTGTCAGTCTCAGAACAAAAGACCACAGGAGGATGTTTTTCAGCCCTTGGTACCTGAAGGACCATGCAACACCTGTTAAAAACTAAAGAACTTACAGTCCCACTAACTCCCAGCAAGGCACCTACCATCTGCATGGCCTGTGTGTGCACATGTCAAAAAGCTGGCAGGCATTTCTGGACTAACTTCTCAGGTGTGAATCACAATCATCCTGACTGCACGGAGTAACACCATGCAGGTCAGACTTGGAGCATTAGTGACTCTGATGAAGTCAAGTAACACTGAAAAGTTCTGGAGAAACAGTAGGGATTAGCCAGTGACACATGATTGTGGCATGTAGCTCTGCGGCAAAAGAAGTAAGATCTTTGGAAAGATTTTGGGTTGGAAATATTGCCTGAGCTGTTTACATGACTCTTAATATGAGTGACTTAAGAATAGTCGGTCAGGGCTGGATCTGGAAAAAGTTCCAGGTGCCCCAGAAGAAGTGTAAGCAGGCTTACACCATCAAAATTTAGATCTGGAAAGATATTTGTTCAGCAGTTGCTTAACCTTTGAGACAATTACATTGATTTGGCACCTCTCTGTTGGGCTGCAGAGATCCCTCCAGAACCTGCAGTTCTGCTCCTGTCCTACCACATATCTCTGCTTCTTGTCCCTGCCTAGGACAGATCCGGCTCCCAAATCCAGGCAGAGTATTGCAGTCCCTGGAGCCCCCTCAACATACCCAGTGAGACCACCTTCACCACACTCTGTCATACACCACCCACATCTCTTCTCACTTCAGTGTACTTGTTCTACATTAAACTGCCCTGAATGAAGTTTCTCCAGGAGCAGAACTTGTTCCTACCCTTCTTCCCCATGCCAACCAAGTGCTCTACTCACTAGTGTGATATGCTTGTGCCATGTTCCTCAACCCTGCCTAGGAAAAGCTCCAAGCAGCCCCTCGCTCCATSACCCTGCTGGGTTTCCTGCACACACATCTGCAGCCAAAGTACACAACAGTGTTTTGGGTTCTTAGCCAAGAGCAAGCACACAGCTTCTGTGTTTRTACCTAGCCTTCAGCAGGGAAAAAAGCATTTGGGAGCAGAGGGCTCTTCCCCAACTCTTCCCCCACAGTCTTCTCAGACCAAAGCATCATGAGAGTAAAAGGTTGCAGGATGAGACTTTGCAGATTCAGACTCAGGGCAAGAAAAAAATAATTAACAATGCARGTAATTAAACAGTGGAAGAACATACTAAGGTTTGTGCTGGTTCTTCTGAACTAAATATTTTACAGCAAAATGTCTTTTTCTCAAAGGGACGTTCCAGTTCAAATGGTACCAAATTAAGCCAGGGGAGTTCTCTGACCTGAGGTAGGTGGAAGATCGTGCAATCCTCATACTCCCTCTGGTCTTGTGATTAATTCCATTTGATACAGCTACTCCTGATGTGAGATTGCTGGGACCTGTGCCTGCCCTCAGGAACTTACAAGCTAATTACATTTGTTGTGTCAACCCATTAAATACTCATTGGCTGCATGAAGATACAGTGGTTAAACTGAATTATGTATTTGCTCTTTGAACATTATCAAAACATTCAGATCTAGCATGTTTCATGGTCTGCCACCATTGCTTCTTCTTTGTACAGAGATTTCTGTGGTTAATCCTTGCGTACAAACCACAGACTTTCCATGCGCAAATACCGGTTTCGGTTATTTCATAGGTTGAAACTATGGTGGCTGATGTCATCCCAGTCTTTTAAATCTATCCTACTTTTGATGAAACCCTTTACTGTTAGATTAGAAAACAATAAATATTTGTTTCAGACCTCATATATTAACTTTGTTTTTAAAAACGTGGCAGCCCAGAGTCCTACAGAAGATGTATACTAGTTCAAACATCAAGGGCCTGCAGGCCCCTCGTAGGTCCCTCCACACCTGCAGAGCCTGCAATGGAGCCTGCTCTGCAATCTCTGCCAGTGAGCAGGGTGTTCATGGAAGGTGTGAGGTCTTAGGAAAGTACAAAATAATGCAAATGCATAGAGCACCTGGATTCACTACAAATAATCTGGTTTGCTTTGAGCTGGGTCCTGACTACCCTGAATTTTCYTAGGGCCCAAGTAGGCAGTCAGATTCTTGCTGTGAAATCCTCAGGTCTCTCCACCTTCTTTGCAGCCTGAAGCAGTCTGCTTCATTTCTTGCAGTTCCCCTTTAAAAACAATCTACAAGAAATTGGAAGAGTTTTGAGATGCCACTACTGTCTTCCAGCTGCAGAGGGGTTCCTTTGCGGTCTGACAGTGTTAATACCTACCAGCTGTCACCTTCATTTCTTTGTCCCAGCCATTTTTCCTCATGACTGTAGGAATAGCAAGAGCTTATCCAAGCCATTCTCTTCAGTCACATTTACCCACCAGCTTGCATGTGCTGGCTGTGCATTTAATGTGTGAATAATACTTTTTGTGACTATTATTCAGCACCTACATACTTTTGCTGGAAGGAAGGTAGAGGACAGCAGGGTGGGAAGGCTTTTAGTTAATGAGACTGTTATTATTTGCTGACAAGATCACAGAGTATCTTAARAAAAGGGAATCTGAACYCCTTCCAAGTAACTTAACAGGAATTTGSACTCCAGAATATTTGTGAAGCATGTGTATTCCAGTAAAAAAAAAAATTGTCACATTGCCTAGGGATTTCAACATCTGTGARGAAACACTGCTGATCACATAGTGTCCACATTCTTTATGATGACTTGATTATGTTAGTTCTGAACCAGTGGAGCAGTACATGAAGACACCCTCCTGCTACACCAACCTTATGTGAACTCAACYTCATGGCAACCCCTCTCTTGTGCTTCACATATTCCTAAAGCTTCCTCTAGTCTGGGAAAATAAGTTAATCATGAAACAGGTATGCAAGGACCATGTTCCAGCTAAGTGGGATTTTCACATGCAGATGTTGCTGAGGCAAACAGAGTCCTARAGACAGCATGAGTGCTCCAGATGTCTTGGCTCTGAGAGATGTTTTGGCAGCCACKGAATGAGGGCTGGAGATTGAATCCTGTTCCTGCAAAGCTGCAGTCTCATAACACACGTGAGTCTCACTGGCATTGCAGTTTCACTGCTCCCTTATAGCCTGGGACCAGCAGGACTTAATGACATGAGGCCCAATGCTCCCTAATCATATGGTCCTGCAGACAGCTGCAGGCACTGACTGTGCTGCCCACACCATGACTCCAACACTGCCACCACAGCCTCAGTCCTGTCCCTGATTTCAGCTGGGATCAGGAGATGCTCACAGGCCARTGAGAATGTTGGCCATATAGGCAAGAGCATAAATTGTTGCACAGCATCTTGAACATTGTCTGGATGGGTCTAGCTGAGAAAGAGACGCTGCTACGGATGAAAGCCCCAGGGGAGGATGTGCAGCCTCCCTGTACTCCAGTGCATGGTACCTGAGCATCTTGCTGCCAGCTGCAGCTCCTGGCCAAGGGGAGAAGGGAAAGGGGCAGAAGAAAAGACCAAGTACCCACTAGAGAGAAGAGTAAACATTTCACTCACTTAATTTCATAGCTGTCAAAACCAGCCTAAAACTGGGGCTAGAAAACAAGTGAGAAGAAAAGCACTGCTTACATAATCTTTTGGCAGTGAAATGAGTCAGGGTTCTTGTGGGAGAAGAGGAATGCAGTGTTTAAGAAATAAACAGCATTGCTGTAATTAGTAATAGTTGGATACTCCTGCTTTCTTGAAGAGCAGGACAGTCATTTACCATGGGTTTATGTGCCTTGTCTGTTGTGCCCATGGTCTCTCCTCTCAACAAAGCTCTGTAAAATGGAACATTCCTGCTGTTTTCTTTAAAATAATCTGTAATTCCTTGGCCATAAAGCAAAGGGAGGCACCCATCTGTTGGGTTTTGTGGTATTTTATCTTTTCCACAAATGTCCTTGTTTGTGTTAACTAGCAAATATAATCATTCCGCTCACAGGAGAGTTACACAACTCCAAGCCTCCTGAGATTTGTCTAACAGCAAATCTTGCTTAATACCCCTGCATTCACTCTTGCTTCAGATCTGCAGCTTCTTCGGCATTATAGCTGTGCTCTCATAAAACAGATTAAACAGCAAAAGGAATGCTGAATGGAAAAGCTGTGTTATTTCCACCTTGCAGGACTTACTGAAATTTGCCTGGCTGTGTTAAAACRCGAGCCAAAACTCCCACAGGGAGCATTAGTCTGAGTGATTCACATAAACACTCATAGAAGTCAGCCTTGGTTGAGCTTCCTAGTCAAATTGGGTAGGTAATAGCACACAAGCAGCAGAGCCCCTCTTCCCCCTCCTTTAGACAGCACTGTCGATAGAAACCTACTGCTGTTTATTCTCTCTGGGAAGCAGCAAGATGAATACTGGATAACAACAGAAAACTTGGGGTCTGGGTAAGTCTTTCACWCAAGGAATTGCGGGTACCTTTTCTGCGAAACGGCCCCTTGATGTGGGCCATCTGGAGAGGAAAATCTCATCAACCTCTTGAAATGCAGCCACGTTTATGATCACTTTCTTTTGCAGTTGACTTTTAAGATCATCTTTCCAGGAGGAGATCTGAAGAAAGGCAAGTTACCGGTATGTATATTTCATGTGTCTTTGGTAAAAGTGTAGATGGGCTGCTTTCTTTCCCTCTGGTCGGCACTGTCTGGTTTCCGCTGTCACTCAATCCCACCCTTCCTGTTGGCTTTYTGCCATCGCCCACGGGTACCGCGTGGGGTCTGACTGACCTCAGCACCAGCGCAGCAGCCACCAGCACCACTGAGGGGCGCTGTGAACAGCATCAGTGGCCCCGGGCTGGTAGGGTTTTCCGGCTGCAATGTTGAACTCTTCTCTCTGTAAGATGAAAAATTACCACAGGCTGGGGCACCTACCTGCCCGTCATCTTTTATGGGCAACTACCATGGAGATCTGCTTCCCTCGGCTTGCTTCGGACCCTGCCTGCCCGTCTTGGCAGAGGGCTCCTCTCTTGCAGCGCCTTTGGTGGTTTGGAAGCATCTCTAACATCAGCTGCTGAAGGAATATTGATAGAGCGATAGCTGAAATGAAGCACAATGCCCAGAGCACAGAGCTGGGCAGCCAAGCTGCTATAGCACTTCCAGATGTGAAGTGGAAGAGCTGGTTTGAGCCTATTTTTCAGATTTTTTTTCTGTTGTTATTTTTTTTTTTTTAAAGCACCATGCAAGCACACTGTGAACAATTTGTACTGTTTGCTCACATTCAGCTGCATGTTCCCAGTGACAGTCAACGTATTTTCTAGCTAAGACTCTCTAACCAAAGCCACATCTGGGGCAGTTTGGCAGCAGACCTCTTTTCCACTGAAATCCAAGAAAAAGCTATCCCATTTCCACCCTGTCATAYGTGTGACTTGGTCTCCAAGCTAAGCCCATACTCACAGACTACTGCAAGGACTGAGGAGAGCAATGTCTACATTCACTWAACCAGGAGGCAAAATTCCTCTTAATTCCACTTTGGGAAATTTGAACTGAATAATGCTACGTGGTTTTGACAAAAGGTCCTCAATGAGACAAAACTGCTGAGCAACTTCCTATCTGTGTGGACACTTAGGAAGAGGTACAGAGACTGGTGGAAAGTCAGAATTTATTTCTGCAACGAATGAGGAGCAAACCTAAGCCTTTATCCCTGCCAGCATACTTGCACTTTAGCTACTGCGCTTTAGCTTCTCCTTAATGTACATCTTCCCCTGATTTCATCTTGCCTGTAGTTTCTAGCAACCTCCTAAACAAATCCTGCAGCATTTCATGGATAATTAAACACAACTCTGAGGGCCGGTTAAGTTGTGAGATAAACTAAAAAAGCCTCCACTGCAGCCTCTTTTCAGGTAATAAGGAATGAGTGTGATGATGCACTGGTTGCTGCTCCTCCTTCTCCTGGTCAGCTTTGGCTCACCTGCTCCCAGGTCCTCGGTGAGTATMTTTTAACTATGTCTGTGCACTCTCTCCATGGTTCATCAATCCCAGTCATGCAGAGGTGGATACTCCCCTGCAAGTGAGATGGAGACCTGTAAGAGCAGAGCAAAAAGGCATCTGCCTGCAGCTAAAGGAATGTCACTATTCTTGTCCTGATAATACAGGATTTTCATGGCATTAAGGGCTGTGCAGCTGTCTGGAGGACTGAACTGATATTTCTAAGAATTAAAAACAACAACAAAAATCTCTTTGAAAAAAATGTCTTTTTTTAGCTAAAACATCAGCTTTTTCAGTTTTACACAAAGATGATTCTGGAACCTCACTGGTTTGGCCTGTCTGCAGTGCAAGTGCCAAGTTTTCCCCTCTTACCAATACAAGCACTTTCATAGCTTGCAAACCTTCCGTTTGAGCTCATCAAATGGGGGTCAAAACAAATTATTTTTGTCTGAAGTTTTATGCATCTGCTCATAYTATGGCATGCTTTGATCAATGCCAAGGCTGTTGTAGAAACCTCTTTTCCATTGGATTCAACTCAACAGCTGATGCTGTGCAAAACTTTTACGTCTTAGGAAGAGATCACCATCAAATCATGTTGATCCACATGGTCAGTGTGACGTGCTAGGGTCAAGAGGAGACAGATACTCCTCTGTGTCTCTCCTTACCACTGACTGAAGTGTGGGGGGTTTTGTTTTATTTTCCCCTCAGGACAAAGACATCTGCCTCCTGGACAATAATAAATTAAGACAAAGGTTAAAACAACTTCAGGATTCGCTTTTCTTATATGAACTGCAGYTGAAGGACATCCTGGAGAACACTTACCACAGAACGAAAAGTGGGCTGTTCTCAGGCAACATGAGTGTGCAGCATGAGATGCTTTTACCCACAACCAGTGGGAATTTGATTGTGTATGACCAAGGTACAGTATGCAGTAGTACGTCACAATGTTTATTTCTCCCTCCAGTGTCCCTTGTCTCACATTTTATTTCTGCTAAAAGTTTTAATTTTTTTAAGTGGATTGTGTTTTAAAATACAGATATTTGGGAAGGAGAAGAACTGACTGGTGGTCCTGACACCATAACATATCCCTTGGGGYTAGAATCACTTGTCCCAGCTCTAGGCAGCTACTAGCCAGGTACAAAATGGACACCTTCAGCCGGGCTTCTCACCTGGGACTCTGCTGCAGAGAGGAACAGTTACCTCTCATGTTTTCCATCAGATTTGTTTTAGGCATCTGYTTAAGGAAGAGATGGGTCCTGCTCTTGAAGAGCCCATGTTCCCTGAGTGACTTAGGGGACACTGGAGTGCCTGGCTCAGCTGCAGGCACTGAGACCTGTTTGGATGAGCCAAACCTCCCTGTTCCTAAGTTCCTCCATTATTCCTGTGGCACAGTAACAGGCATGCATTCTTTGTTCTTTGGTGRATTTGAGAACACGGTCATAAATGATATTGTTGCCTGTGGCCAAGATTTTAGGCTTTGGGCATTACATTGAAAGTGTGATTCAGCGATTCTGAAAGGTTGTCTCCTGATATAGCCCTGGTAGAGCTGGACACAGGAATTTAGCCTATTATTTTAAAAATATTGTTCCCTGATCCTATCAGAAGTACAGCTGAGGTTACCTTACCTTCCACATGGAAATTAGCTTCCCTTGAAATGATCTTGCTGACAGAGARCATTTCAATCCCAGGCTTTCATGATATAGCCGCAGGCTAACCTGCAGCTATCCTGCATCTCACCAAGAATTTGGGAATGATTCCCTCAGAGGGCATGACATAAAGGCCAGCAGTTTGCAAACTGGTGTAGCTGTTGCCTTGCTGCACCATTTCCTTTGACTTTACAGGGCTTGCAGAGCTATACACAGGCTGGCMTGAGTCCCTGCCTCACTGAGAGCCTCCCAGTGATGTCTTCTTTTGGTGGCACATAGCTCTTGGCTTTCCCCCCACCCTGTTAAACAAGCTGATATCATTCYGCTCAGATTGCTCTGTGGTGTATAATCAGAAGAGCACCAAAAGTGGCTACTACCGGATCAGGCCCAGAGCAGACCGAGAGCCTTTCCTGGCCTTCTGTGACATGTCTGATGGTGGGGGCTGGACTGTCATTCAGCGGCGGAGCAATGGCAAGGAGAATTTCAACAGGTAGGTGTCTTATGGTTGCATCAACAGGGCTTGCAATAAGGCCACCAACTCCCATCCTTGTCCTGCTGCCAGGAAAAACCCCACCCTTGAGAAGCAAGATATGCAAGACTTTGTATTACTGATGATAATTTAGGGCTAGGACAAAMTGATGGTACCTATTGCAGGTGGAGACCCTTTTCAAAATGGATCTGTAACTTCTTTTCCATGATTTCTCTTAATTTGAATACCTATTTGTTTTATCATTATTGGAGACWGTCAAAGGCTCCAGATTGGCTGGCATTTGCTACCAGTGCACAGACTGAGACCTGTGGAGCAGATCTGTTTTCAGATCAGGAATTATGTTCAGCATGTTCTAGCATTTATTACCGTATTCAGATAATCCAAAAAGATGACRAACCAGATTGTCCTTTCCTTATGAAAAAATCCAGAGAGCTGACTTTCACTCTGAAATTTACAGGAGAGATGTTTTGGTAGGAAGAAATTTCCCCACGCACGTTAATTCAATCACAGCACATGCAATTTCAGGGCATATCTAATTCCTCTTTAAATCTACATAGTGCACTACAAAGCTACCTCAACTGACTAAGCCAGCTTGCCCAGAGAGTGGTAGCTATCTAGCCATGGTAGATAGTTCAAATGAAAAACAACCTGAAGAGGAGCATGGACTAGTATGTAGGTCAGGTAGAATTAATATCCATAAAAACAATGTGAAAGAGGGAATAAACACAGGGTTGCTAAAATTAGAAATGATGATACACAGGAAGTATATGTGAATATCAAAAGTGATACACGGATCATGTGGATTATCACTTGTTGAAAAACAATATCTATTGGATTTGCCTCATTGAGCCCCAGCAGYACCCACAGATCCCCGGCGCAGGAAACACACACGAGACAGGCAGGCGGGCAGGTCCAGGTTTCTTCTTTATTAATCTTCGTATTTCAGGCTCTCTTAGATATAGTGATATTCAGCTCTCTATCTTAGTGATTCCAGCTCTGCCCCCTCCTAGCTCTCCTCCACCCCCAGCAACTAGCATGCTTTAAATATACTTTTCTTATCTTTCCCGGGTTTTGAGAACACACCAATCAAACATGCCTCAGCCAGATCACATGGCTAGGCAGCCTCCAATGTTGATGCAGCATGTTTTTGTCTTTTATTGGTAGAATACTTTCATTTATCCAGTCCCATGACTGGATGCGTCAGCCCAGCTAGAGTCTGCGCTATTTTGACCCTCTGAGCTCAGGCTGTGTCCGAGCCCAGCCCCCACACACAGCTGTAAAAATGGCCACGGCCACGGCCACGGCAAATATCAGATGTTTTGCTGAAGATCAATGTGATAGCTGCTGCTTTTCTTTTCCATTTAACTGGCAACCTCAGTCTGCAAGTACTGCATCTGGCAGTTTGAAGGTTTGATCCCAATATATGTGCCTGCACAGGTTTAGCAGGGGGAAAAGTAACCTGTGAGGTGTATTTACATCTAAGTCAGAGTGACAAATCTCAGCTCAGCTTGTGATGAGTCGGATACTTTTAGAAAAMTGTATCTAGAAACACAGATGAAGTTTTACTTGTTACCATACCCAAATGTCACAAACTGTCTAATCCCCGCCTCATGCTGACATTGATATTTGTATCTCTTTGCAGGAAATGGGATGATTACAAACTGGGATTTGGGGAATTCCAGGGCAAGAATGATGAATACTGGCTGGGTAACGACCACATCCATGACCTACTCACTAGAGGTCCAACTATTTCTTCTCCCTATGCTTCTTTCTAATTTGCATTAGATAGTTCATCTTACAGGACACAATTTTATGTTTAGGAGAGAACTCATTAAAGATTGATCTGATGGACTGGCATGGGGAAAGACGTTATGCTATCTATGAAAATTTCCAGCTTGCAAATGAGCAGGTAAGAAATAGARCAGCAATTTGCTTGCTTTGGTCTGTGAGGGTGGGGCAGCTGCAGACACAGCGTCAGACCAGTATCAGAGTTGTACCTACAGCTCTGCAAAACTTACCTGCTCTAGTTCGCTGGGCTTCCTAGTTTCTCTGACTGACAAACAGCCCTGGGAGCAGGGACATAAACCTGGGGCTTTTCCCTTAAACTGAGTGCCCAGGTCTGTGGGTGACAGGATCACATGTGAGTGCTCTCTTGCTAACTCTGTGAACAGAGGGCAGTTCTCTGCCACAGGGCACAGGGATTCCCACATGTACTTGCCTCTGGCCTCATGATTAAGAGTCTTCTGTGAGTGCGAAGACCCTTAGGGTTTGAATCTCTGCAACTAAATGGAATCCTGTTATCCTGCTTCCTAAGAGAGTGTTTCAGACTGTCACATAAAGGGCAAGTGCCAGAATAAATCCTGTCAACTAAGTTTTAAAATAAAATAGTGAACTCTAATCAAAGCTTTGAAAGAGCAGTTTTAAGTTACTGTCTTGAAGAGAGGAACCTGTAGCACTACACCTGCTACTACAGACACAGAAAACCCARAGACTGATGCATCCTGTATTTTCATGTTTGCTGTCTAGCTGTAGCAGTGTCCAGTTCCCCACAGGTGTTGTTCTTTGCAGACTTGCTTTCCTGAAAACCACACATAAGTAGCCCAAATAACCAAGGATACTGCACAGACCAGTCCTAGTTCCCACTCCATCACAAGTCCAGAAATGTGCACATTATGCTTAGTTTGCAATTAGAGATTTCTTATAAAATGTTTGAACAGCTTCATTTTAATACCTTACTGCCATTTTTTCATAAAGAAAGGAGGACAATGATGGCAGAAGAAAGCCCACAACACCAAAGTGATCATTCACTTAATATCAAATATCTCTTAGACCTGTTAGCTGTGCACAATTGAACTATTATTCTATGTATTCCTACTGGGACAAGACCATTTATCTAGAAATCAGATGGCTTTTAGTCCTTGGGAGAGAAAAATGCCTAAGAAATTGTTCTAGTTGAACAACTGATCCATTTATGAAGGCAACTACTTGGCAGTTTCCTGCTAAGTTTTTCTTGATCAGCTAGAAAGAGCTTTCCATCTTGCTGCAAAGTGTATTAAATGGCTGTTGAATGGCAATAAACCTGAAGCCTTTTGTTGTAGCAGCAGCAATAATTAGCAATCCCTTCTGGAAGTTTTAATCCTGCATTGATCTACACTAGCATCATTAAAGCATGGAGACAAAAGTCACCCTTTACTTCAACAGCCATGATGCCTTTGACAGCAGATAAGATGGCCAGAACTAATTTGATCTTAAAAATGGGAGGAAAGGCAGAAAGAGTGGATATCAAAGACACRTTTCACATATTCTTGCAGGACAATTACAGGTTATGGTTTGGCACCTATTCTGGTAATGCTGGCGACGCTCTGTCTGGTGGGAGCAATTTTGAAGATCAGTGGTCAGCCTCTCACAGAGGGATGCAGTTCACCACATCTGATAAGGATCATGATCGATTCCTGGCAGGCAACTGTGCATCAGAGAACAAAGGTGGCTGGTGGTTTAACAGGTATGGGAAACAGCTGATTCCTCTTGGATGCAAAGGGTGTGGGTGGCTGTACACCTGAGAGGACATGCCTGCCTAAGAGCAGCTGGAGGTTGCTGTGTGCACTTGTCACCTAACACAGCCAAACCTAAGATGTTCACACCTACAGATCCTCCAAGGAAAACAATTTGCTTCTTTTATTACAGCAAAGCAGGCAAGTTGAATTAATTTTAAGAAATGGGCCCCAGGAAAGTTGAATTCATTTTAAGAAAATGGGTCAGAACAAATGCATAGGGGCCAATGACCTGGAAGGAAAAGAACCCAATTAAAATTCCTGAAAGTGCCTTGCAGTATATTCCAGAAAAGAAAATGACTGTAGTAATGATAAGGTGAAGTATGTACAAAGGCTATTTCCCTAGTGKGGAACATTCTAACAGCAGAGCTACCCCATAACACTTATGATAGTATATTTGCTGTTCGCGCATACACCCAAAGGGTCCCCTCTTTAACAGCCTCAGAAACATGGACACACCACTCTCAGTTTTTCTCTGCTTTAGTGCAGGATGAGCCTCTTTGACCAAATTCTCAGCATATACCAATYGAAATCAATGGAGATACAAAACTGTGCATCAGTAGTAAGCTTTACCTCAATTAAAAGACATCTGCATTTTTAGGTATCAATAAGGAGCTTAATACACTTGAGCTGGAGCTTACCAAATGGCACTACACCCCTTTGGTCAGGCAATGTAGTTATAATGTCTGTAGTTCATACACCCGAAGGTGTCAACAGGCTGAAGTATCTGACCAATGTAGGTGTCTGCTTTAGGAGGATCCACATATTCCTCTATATTCCACTAAACCACTTTCATCCTGGCTTGGTACTTCCATACATATGTTGTGTGAGAACTGTACTTCACTGCAGTGATGCAGTATCTTCCAATGCTAATCATAATTCCCTTTTTCCCTTTCCTAAATCATTCAAAGGTGCCATGCTGCAAACCTCAATGGGCGATACTACAGAAGAGGGAAGTACAGTGGATCCCATGATGATGGCATGGTTTGGTCTACATGGCATGGGATGTGGTACTCACTGAAATATTCAGCCATGAAAATCAGGGCTCCATTCTTTGTTGACAGYGAGAGTGGTGATGGTGAGAACAGTCAGGGCAGATGAAACCTGCTGCTTTGGAAAGAGAAAAAGCAAGGCTGAAAAGAATGGTGTAAGCTGATAGCCACTTCTCTGCCGCTGCCAATTGCCAAACCTGCATTTGACAGCTGGAGTTGCACCTGCTTCTGCTGCCTSGAGCTAACAGCCAGACAACAATTTCATAGAAAACATATGGATCTTAGACATGGGACAAACACAGATTTCTTTTTCAGCAGTTTTCAATACTTTGTTGAAGAATGTTTACTGAAAGCTCTCTGAATAATGTTTATTGAAAGCTCTCTGGACTTTGAAGGCTCAAGCATGTCCTTTAATCTATCTATACTTTTCAAGGTCTAAACTTTTATCATTTTGATTTTAACCATCGGTATTTCAGTTATRGGAACATTACTATAGAAAGAAAAAGGGGATGGGGAGTCGGACTTTGTCTGGTGTGCCTTTGGTAGTGCTTTGTTCTGCATCAGGAGAATGTTTTTAAGCAACTTTCSCTATAGTTCCAATTGCCACGCTTCAGCTGCAGAGCACTCCTGGTGTTTGAAACCAAACCTGTGGATGGACATGCTCCAAACTGCTGATGTGCATCCAGACTAAGGCTGCTTCAAAGTAAACACCCATAACATGGACAGTGTTGGGGTCCATTCTCACACTTCCTGCTGTGGATCCACTGCTAGAGTACACAACAAGACATTAAAGCAGACAAAGACAATCCTGCCAACCCAGATTGGAGACCCAGATTAAAATGAGGTAGATTTTACTAAAATTAGGGTGAGCACAGATATTCTTAAGAGTTCCTAAAATGCAGTCACGATTCATTTGTATATTCTTCTGTAATTTGCCAGATAACTTTGCATTAGTGAAGAGGAATCAGAAAGTGGTTGAACCCACAAGGCACACTGCTTTGTCTCACTGGGGTGAAATGAAAGAGCAACACTGATGAATGAAAGAAATGACTGAAAGAAATGGAATACTGAAAATTTATTTTCCACAACTGTTAATAAGAACAGTTAAAAATGAACATATCAGCTTGATGAAAATTGTTTAACTATCATGCTGTAAATAAACCTGTTTCCTTCTTTTTCTGATTTACAACAATTTTTTAAACTGGCACTTCTTTTCCATTTACTTGTTTTTATATCCATACATATTGTAATTTGTATATATATCATTAAGAGTGAAATAAAATCATCCGAGTAGGACTTAACACTTTTTCTCTGGTTTTCAATAGTAAGAATGTGAACAGAAATCTGGATCAAAATCTTGGAAAGCTCATAATATGAGAAATGTATTCTTTCAGTGTTGGCTCTGGTGCTTTTTCACCTGTTGCCCTGGGTAGTCGAGAGAGTCTGCAAGGTAAGTTTAAGTTTCATGGCTCAAGCTGTCCTGAAGACAATGCAGAGCTATTTGGTGAAGATTCAGTGTAAAACTTGGTTTGGTTCCTCTGCTTTGTCAAGAGATAAACCYTTGTTCTCACTGCTTCCTAGACATCCCAGCAACTGCAAACATGAACATCCCAGTGTAATGGGCAGCATTCCAGGGAGCTGTCTCCTAAAGCCTGTGCCCTTGGCCAGACTGCACCCCTCCCCTCTTCCCAAGTGTACCCACGTGGAATGAATTTGCACCTACATGTCTGAAATGAGGCTGCCCTTGTGAAGAAAGGGATGCAAACAGGCACCACTTACTCTTTCCCTTCTGATCACTAGTTCTGTATTTGGATATGGTTAAATCATACTGCAAGCTTGTCAGTGCACCTTAGGAAGCAAGGAATGACTTTGCACACATTGTAACTGTGTGGCCACTGGTGCAGCAATGAGAGCAGAAAGGATGGTTTTTATCTAGGTGGAAGACACAGGGAAATAAATTCATGCCATCTGGCAGGTAATGCTCAATCCATTCTCCAGAAGAGAGCTAAGGAAGCAGGGTAAAGATTACGGACTGCAGACTGTGGAAACTACAGCACTGAGGGAACAGCATTTGTGGTTTGACAGTTCATTAAGCAGCTGATAACCCATCTGATAATGAAGTATCAAGCTGGAGATAAAGTCAGTAGGGCTTAGTCACACAACCTGCACCGATTCCAGTTCCCCAGTGAGTGAAGCATGAGCAACATAAAGTCCAGACTGCAGAGACTGTTTCCCTGTTTCAGTATGGAGGGGCAAGCATTATAGTTGGATCCTTCAGCCAAGCATCACTGTTATGGTGCTTTTTTCTGTCTCTGAGAGAGAAAGGGGGGCCAAGGTGTGACAAGCTGGGAGGGAAGAGGTCTGCCTTACTGTCTTTGATGTAAGATGTGTCTCAGTACATCTAATAATATTACAGTAGCTGTTCTGAAGACAGCACAACACTGGGACAACTTTGCAGGAAGCAGCATTTGATTTAGAGCAATGATCCCCCTTCTCTGCCTTCCTGTGGCAAAGGAAACCCACTTGGAGATGCAAGGGTCACAGGGCTTTGTGCAGGAGCCTGCAAGTCCCAGGAAACATTTCAACAAACCCCAGGAAGAATTTCAAAACCCTCTTCGTTAATAAACAGGGTAAAATGCCACTAGCCAAGTACTTACTGGATCTGAGGGCTACCGCCAAGCTCAAATCACTCCCGCTGAAGGTTAGGGGAATGCTTGCTGAATCTTGCTGCACTGCAGATTTGATCTCGTGTTTCTGCAGGGTCTCCCTCCTACGCTAAGAGCTTAAACAGATATACTGTAGCCCTGCAGCTCCAATGCTGACGGATCAGGGTGAAGGTACTTCACACCACCAAGCTGACCTCAGTACAGGCAGGGTAAGTAACCTGARCAGCAATTGCTTCAGAGGTCTGATTTCCAGCTCGTTTAAGTCAATTTAAAGACTCGTTACATTTGATTGCCTTTGGATAACTCTTCAAGCRTGAACATGTTCTCAAACACTTTAAACAGCTTTTCAAGCTGACAGTTTATGGGAACACATCACTGGTACAAATGCCACGCTGGGCCAAGGGCTGAACATTGGCATCTTGGCGCTGCTCCCAGGAAAGAGGGAGCTCACATCACTGTGGGAGCCGGATCCTTTGCTCCAGCAGCGGCTGCAAAATGTTACCCATCAAAAAGGCCATTCCAACAGCCAGATTTGTCTCTGGCGGCCAAATGCTGAGTCTTGCTCCTCCTATGCTGTCACAGCAGGTAACACCAAGTGCCTGTCAAGCTACCTGTGCAAGCTTTGGACACTGCAGTGGGGTGCCATCACAAACAGGCAGCCAATGCACAGCAATGCTGCTCTTCCTTTAACAATGCTGTTRGTTTGTAGGGGAGAAAAAAAAAAAYAAGTGTGGGATTGGGAAATCTCTCTTCTACACAGAAAGCCAGTTTTGAGAAAGATAGCAGCCTACCTTCTGAGAATGGAATACATGCTAATTTTGCCTTCACACCCACAAGGCAGGTTAAAAGGCATGTAAGGTTGGGCTCCTTATGGGAGAGTTGATTTCAGACTAACAGTCCACTGCCTAAACCTTTCTTCTCGCACACCAACCTTCATGGGCAGCATCTCTTTTCCTGCTTTTGCTCACTAGCATTCCCCATGTCTGCAAAGTTCTCAGAGAGATGGTTATCCTAATGAATGGCAAGAGAAGTCTTAGTCATTCACAAAGGCCTGAGCTCTGCTTCTGCTGTTAATTCGTGTTCCAACCCAACTCTGAATATTTACAGCAGTATCTAATGGCAAATTTGTGATGTTTGGTTTTAAAACACAACAAAAAAAAAACAACATCGTGGCTTTCGTAGTTCACTGTTACTGCTCTCTACAGCCCCCTGAAAGAAGGTTGTAGCAAGGTGGGGCTTGGTTGGCCCCTTCTCTCCCAGGTGACAGGACCAGAGGAAATGGCTTCAAGTCACGCCAGGAGAGGTTTAGATTGGATATGATGGAAAATYTCTTCACTGAAAGAGTGGTCAGGCATTGGAACAGGYATCCCAGGGAAGTGGTGGAATAACTGCCCCTGGAAGGGTTCAAAAGGTGTGTGGATGTGGCAGTTAAGGGATATGGTTTGGGGGTAAAAACAGTGGTGTTACATTAATGGCTGGACTTAAAGATTTTAAGGGTTTTTCCAATGTAAATGATTCTCTWAGATTCTCTGTGAATTACCAGATGTTGCTGGGCCATTTTATTTTTTATTATTAATCAAATGATCTTGTTCTTTGCTGGTTTTGTTCATAATTTATTTTGAGCTTACTGTAGTAGTATTACTGTCAATATATTTACATAAAAATTTTAATAAAGGAAAGGATGACTAYGGAAAAGATTCATAATTCAACCGTTCTCTCACTGCTTTTAACAGGCAACATGCTATGGTAACATTTTTGTGAGAACTAAAACCTGATCATCTGTTTTCTTTGCTCTCCCTGTAGCATGCCTGTTGTACTAACTTCCTGTTTGCTTGGCATAAATATTGACAGTAAGAAAATATCAGTCTTGAATGATGAAAATGCCTCCTCAATTTTAAATTCACTCAAGTATTCAGAACCAATTGTTAGCACTTTCATGCAATCAGCTAAAAAGCCCCACCATGAGTTACTGGAGCAACAATGACAAATCAATGGAGTTCAATAATGACTATCAAAAAAATGATGAAAACTGCCCACAGCTTGAGCTTTGTGCTTTCTAGATGAGAAATGATTCACTAATCAGGGAAGATGGTTGAGGATGCTGGACAATGGATGCTTCAGTATCTCACAGTCTACCAGTGCACAGTCCACAAGGTGGGAAATGTCAGTGGCACTCATCATGTATAATGCACGAAACATGACTGCTTTACACAATAAAATCTGTGTTGGCTATTCCCGYGCCATACCTTAACCAACATGTGCTTTCCCAGGTTACTTGGTGTGTCTTGTACACACATACATACAAAAAATAATTATATGAAAGCACTTTTCAGTAATTAGAACGGAATATGTTCCCACAAGCCAGACCTGGGGCATTATTCCCTCCTGCTGTGTGTGGAGATAATGTGATTCTGGCTCTTTCTTCCACCAGAAGCAAATGGATCCTGCAGATCCTCTCCCACGCACGCCACTCCTGCAGGGCCACAATGAGTCACTCAGATCACCAGCTTCTCAATGCTCAGAGTACTTGTTTCATCTTCTTCATTAGAGCCAAAATACCCAGGGAGGTCGATCATCTGCTGCTCTGCCTCCRTTAAGCCAAAAGTAGAATTGTCATAAAAGGCAAACTCAGGGTCCAAGGGGAAGCTCTGGCATTTGTCCCTTCGATACTGGGCAGGGCTCACACTTAGGCCTCTCTGGGAATTATCTTTGCCATTTGGGCCTGTTTCTTTCTGCCACACACCTTTGGGGTTGGGTGAAGGGCCCCTCTTGCTTCGGCTGAGCTCAGACTTCTCAGCTGCCTTCTCCTGACCAGCAGGCTGGCGGTCACTGATCAGGTCCAGCTTCCTCACCAGGGGACCTGCCCTGTGGTGGGGCTTTGCACTGTGGCCCTGTGGTTCACAGCCCAGCACAGTGCTCTGGGGTTGATCCAGCTTTTCACAAACTGGATTAAYGTTTCTTGATTTTGGCCGTGTCCTGTTCTCCAGACCGTGGTCCCATGTCCTGGTCCTGGAGTTGTAGAGAGGAGTTTGTCGGGGTGTGAGAGTGGACATGCTTCTCTCTCTGAAAGGCCTGGCTTTTTTAGTTTCATGGAAGCTGGCTGTTCTTCTGAACTGTGAGTTTCTGTGACAGCCCCTCTCAGGCAAGTCTGCTCTGTTATCCTGGTGCTTGAAATGACCTCTTCTTACCAAGGTTTGGGTAGGGCTCACTGCAGGATTGGCCTGTGAGAATGGAAAATCCAGCCTGGTGTGAGAGYCTTCCCCCAGGAACCTGGGCTGACTGGCTGGCTGATCCAGAAATGGAGATTTGATTCGAAATTTGTTTGCCGCTGTCTCCTCTTGGTTTTCCCCACTCAGGGGAAGCATTGTGGTGGCACCAAGAACCGTGTCTGTGAGGGGATTCTGAGAGACATGGTACACCTTAGTGGTCTCTGTCAGGCCTTTTTTCTTCATCTCTTTCAGCTGCTGCTGTGCCAGGCGGTAGCTGAAAATTGGAGGGATTATTTTTTGGGCGTTTGGCTGAAAGTTTTCACTTCCAGATGCATCGTCTTCTTGGGCAAATTGGAGGCTTCGCCTGTTAGTTAGAGGAATGTTAACAGGGGCATCCCCTCCTTCAGCAAAGCTGTCCCGTTGCTTGTTGCCTTGGCAAATGTTCTCCTCATCAGAGTTCTTCCGGAAGCCAGGAGAATGGACAGAGTTTCGTCGGACAGYGGTGCTGCATTTCTGAGCTCTGCAGAGCTTCCTCCAGAGGGTGATGAGAACAGTGGCAAAGATGATGAACAAGCATAGGGAGATACCTGTGATGGTAACTATATTATTTGCTTTCTGGTCCTCTCCTGGCTGGACAGAAGGTGGGGTGGGAGGCTGCACAGCTGCAAGAAAGAGCACACACATCTGTCAGAGTTGCACTGGTGGCAGCATTTTGGTATTTGAGGATGAATACTTTACTACAAAGGAAAAATAAGCCATTAATACAAGAAGTTGTCTGCCATTAAAACTTGCTCATTGGAGATGACTTATTACTCAATGACTTCACACTGGCACAAACAYCTACTATGCCTATTTTAAAGCAAGGATCCCACAGACCTTCTAAATATAATAACTATTTTTTCCTGCTCTACCATTTCCGTAAGTTATTCCTAAATACTTGTACAATGAGGGAACTCTAATTGTCCTACTTTATGAAGTACACTTAGATTCCCTGGTGAAAAGCAACATAAAGGGGGTAAAAATAATTCAACCCTAATACCYCACATATCACTTTAAAATTATTTTTAGGAATGCTTAAGTGGATGTGAGAATTGAAATAATTTTGAAGAGAGCGGCAACCACAGGAGAGGAAACGTAACTTTTCTAAGCAGTTCTCCGAGGATGCTTCTACCACTGTCTGGTGCCACAGCCCGGAGAACAAAGCTTTCCCATGCCACAGCAAATGAAAATGCCATTACTTTGCTGTCCCCAGCATTCCAGTATTGACACTGTTCTTYTGTGGACTGGAGATGGGACTTCAAACAAGGAAGAATACTCTACAAGCTTTCTTCACTGAGAGGATAATCAGCCAGTGGAACAAGTTCCCCAGGGAAATCATCATGGCACCAAGCCTGCCAGAGTTCATGGACTGTCTGGACGATGCTCTTACTCACATGGCTTTGTTTTAGTAGTCCTGGGGAAGCAGGAAGTTGGACTCAAGGATCCTTATGACTCAATGCCAACTGGAGATATTCTGTGATTCTAACCTGTAATGTAAATCTCTCAGAGCTGTCCACAGTCCTATCTAAACCTCTCACCTGCTTCTTGCAGCACATTACAGATGGCTGAACCGATGAGAGATTGGTATTTCTTTTTGAATGATGTCTCTAGCACTTCAGGGGCATTCTTCAGCAGAATACAGCATGGTTGAAAGTGGATGTGTTGGTCCAGTAGCTAATTTTAGTATCTGATAGCACTGCCCAATTCCTTGGGGTCAGACACCTGCTCCATGAAGCCATCATTTTGGTGGAGGACAAGGTTGGTCAGTTGCAGTTGACAAGAACTGGCCATGAAGTTGTTAGCACAGACAAAACCACTGAGCAACCCTGCCCTAGTCTCTAGTTTTATCCAGGACCCAAAGCCTTCCATCAGAGTCAGCTGTAAGGTTTGGCAGGTGCTCCGGCGTGTGCCACAGTGACTGTCCAGGAATAGGAAATGTGACAGCACAGTAAAAAGAAGCAGACACCATGTACTTCCCATAATTAGAAGAACACACTCTCAACAACAACAAGCTGGTAGCGCAGCTGTTAGGTGGGCAGAATGCACAAAATGCACCGATGGACATAGGCCAGGAGATCTCAAGCTGCTACAAAACTGCTGGGGTTGGGAAGAGGGTCTACTTCCTTGATTCAGGACAACCTAACACCCCCATATCCTTTTAAAAATCCTGCCATTGGATTAACTTTGAGCATTGTGTCATTCTGAGAGCTTGGAAACAGTTTAAAGAACAAGACCACTGCCCGCTGAAGGAAGGAAGATGTCAAAAACTTGCATTCAGTCCAATGCCTCTGGGCCAAGAGCCCAGAGCACTGCTATTCTGTTGAGAACACCTACGCWGGGAATGAACAAGCTGACCTCAGGCAAGAAGGCAGGACCAGCATTTGCTCTGTTCAGCACTACTGCAGCAGAGCAATTCATTCATTTCTAACCTTTTTCTCAGTCCTCTTTGTTCACAGATATTTTCCAAACACTCCATTCTCTATTTGTAATGAACACTGTACTGCATCATTTGGGCTAGACAGCCAATAGCAAGGAATCTGCGAAGTTCAAAACAGGACTGGGTCTCTATGGTTCGCTTCTCCCTGCACCTCATTCCCCTGCCCCWGCACTGCCTGCTGGCCTCACTCCTTCAGCAATTTGCTCCATCTGCTGGACTAACGACTGCCGAGTTAAGCTGGAAACAAAGCTTATCTGCTTCTGAAAGCTTCAGACAGCCATGGTGGGAAGGGTGAGGGTGACACTCCCAGCTTGAGATCAGGAAGCAGATGAACACCACAAAGTCACAGCCTTCAAATTACTTCTTGAGCAAGCTGAGATTCAATGGGATGAAATCAGTAGGTGATTCTGTAAAGGAAATTGCCCCATATGGAAGCAAGTGCTTTAGAAACCATGTGCAAGAGAGATGTGTGGTATTTCCTCCAGATTATTCTACAGCAATGGGTGCAGATGCAAGTCTCCTATGCATCTGTGCTCTCTACCTATTAACCCTCCTTATTAACCCAGAGACCTCACTGGGATCTGGGGAATGTCCAGACCTCCTGAGTCCAACCAGACTGCCACAGGTGTGTGCACAATGTACACACAGGATGGTTGGAAACCATCATATACCTCATACAGCTGCAGACCTGCATGGGAGGAGTGGCCCCTCGCAGAGGCCTGTCACCCCCATGCACGTACAGAAAGGTGCACACACAAATCTTGTGTCCAGCACATGCTCTGCAAGCAGGGACCCCACTCCAGGGAGCTCTGTGCACCAAGACTGCTCTCTAAGCTCCAGAGGTCGGGATGGAACTAGCTGGCAAGGAGCCAAACCAAGTTATATATTTACAGACATACCCCTCCAGCAGATAAACAGGAGGCATGGGATAGCACAGTTCAATATCAGCTTTGGAAAAACACTAACAATCCCATTGTGGTGGTGGCATTACTGCCCACAGCAGCCCCAGACATATTGACATAGAGAAGACAAGTAGAGCAGGGCATTGATTTTAAGCTGGGGCCCAAAACATCTGAGTTGCTTCTCTCTGCTTTCACTCGCAGCTTTACAAAATAAGGAAAATGAGGAAACCCCCCATGGTGAGCATTTTCAAGTTATTAAAAACATCAGACCTGTTAAAACATTCCCAGTGCTGCATGAACACTGACAAAATGCAATACCTGGCTTGATGGAAAGAAATTTTTAATATTTTCCCTTTACCCAAACTTTTGTTAAATACAAGCCATTTCCAGCAGTTTCACAACAATTTTCAATCCCACCTGTATACTGCTGAGGCCTTCATCYTCAGACACCTTGAAGCTGGTTCAAGTCAACACCTTCATTAAAAAAATAGTTATCCCGTCTTCCTGTTCTGGCTACACTTTCTCTCCTGCTGCTATCCTTCCCTTTTTGGTGGCAGAAGCACTGCCATGGCCATGTGCTAAACAACTCCCCACATCCCCAAACTGTCCGTTGTTTAACTGCCTCCACTGCAGTTCTCCACACTGCACTTTTGCAAGCAGAAGGAAGTGCATGCAAGCAGCCAAAGCAAGGAATAAGGCATTGCTCACTTTGAAATAGCCTAAAATACCTGATAAATTAGAGTCTGAGATCCCAGGAGCCTTCAGAGTTCCTGGGCATCTTTCCCTCCCCATCCCTGCCCCCTGTGGCACCAGTGGGACACAAAGGCACTGGAGTTTATAGATCAGCTTTCTGGTCTCTGGGGTCCCTTGGCACCCATACACCCTTTTCAGCAGGGAGTTTGCAAGAAGCAAAAGTTTTGCACAGACTGAGCACCAGCACCCTGCTAAAAGATGGCACTCCTCATGCCCCTCATGGTGACTGTCAGCACCCAACTGTGGCATTGGCACAGCCTCATCCAGCCTCCCTGGTGGTTGCTGTAACTCCCCTATCATCTTACAGGAGGTTCTGGTCTCTTGTATCTGCTGGCAGATACAAGAGACCAGCCAGCAGATACTGGCCCGTGCCAGCCTGCCCGGTCACAGGCCAGTAGCAGTGGCAGGCAGGAACAGGAGCCACATSAAAAAACTCACAGAATGGGAACCTCACATCACAGGTCCCAGTTGGAACCAGCACCCTTTCTTATTAGACTTTAACTTTTTAGTAGGTTTCCACTGGAGTCGCTGGCTTTCATTAGTGAACATGTCCTGCAAGCCTCAGGGTCTCTCTCTGAGGACTTCTCCACTCCCTGGCCATGCTGGAGATTTTAAACTGCTTCTATCGCACCCAMGGCATTCAGAAATATGCCTTGGAGCCCTATCTCCAGTGTCCCAAAATTGAAACGCACAGAGGCTCCCGCCCTACACCACCAACCACAGGAATGTGACAGCCCCCCAAATCAATATGACTGAAGGACAGATGGGATGCTTCCATTTTACAGTTTGCTTTTGCCAGGGAGGTTACACAACCAGGGGTAAGAGGACAGCAGAGTTACATACACACACACTCCTCCAGTGAACACAGGGAAGTCTCCCTCGGCGATCCAGCACAGCCTGGTTTTGCCGGTGAGGAGGTGAGGCATTCTCGGAAGCGCTCCCGGATGCCATCCCCACAAGTGACACTGCATGGGCTCCAGGGCTGCCACGGGCTCCACGTTTCTAAAAATACACAAGCACACAGCAATGAGCAATGGGTCTGCCTCCTTACCTTAAAGACACAGCCATTTGTCTTTTTTTTTTTAAGAAAAACAGCAATAAATAACCAAACAATGCAAAACAGCAAGACCAAAAGAGTATCCAGGGATGAGCCAAAGCTTCCACTTGTCGTTTTCCTTTTCTTACCCAAGTGTCAGCCTTCAACACAGTGGTTTGTCAACTGSCAGGCAGGTTCTGCCTGGAACAACAGTAAAAGGAAATGAATCCATAGACCTTTGAAGTGGGCTGGTAATTGATCTACTAATCCAATTCCTGTCTGACAAGCAGCCACATTTACGGTAGGATAACCTGATTGACTTAAACACAGTTACTGCTGATTTATATGACTGTGACAGGATGATAATCTTCCAAGACCTAATGAAATGACAACATTGATTTACTCTTTATTTTCTTCTCAGCACATAGGCATGTTATTGATTCATTCATTTGACAGCTTACAGGTCCCTATTGTTTTATTGCTTATGGTTAGGCAATTCACTCAAGATGAAATTTTGCATGTTCATTTCTTTATTTTAAGTGGAGGCAGACTCATGTTCYCACATTATATTATAATTTTAATGTCTAATAAAATCCCTCCTTTTCTTAAACAACATCCTCATCCAGTGATCTCCACATTCAAACTTTACAGCAGTGAGAACCCAGAGAGAAAGATGGAACCATTCCTGCTCATATCTGACAGTTGTGACACTGAAGCAAAGCCACAACTTTAAAATCCAAAAACAATTAACAAGTTCAGGGGTAATCTTAAAGGACAAAACCCTGAGGGACACTCCAATGGGTCAGTTGGCTTTGACAGAAAAACAATAAACCATTTCACTGATCACAGATAAAGTTGAAAAAATAGCTAAATTATTTAAGTACATCAGGTTTGTTAAATTTTGCTCTTTTACATAATTTATGGTGCTGCTACTGCCAACACATGCCATGATTTTTAATTTTATTACTGCTGCTAGCATGCCCTGAGCCCTTAACCAAGTTATGATGTCAAAAGACTAGACAGTGTTGCATGACTCAAAATGGCTTTATGATTTTGTTATATTGGTTGCTGTATTGCTCCTAGTGTGTTATTACTTTTAAATGTCTCTAACAAGAATAAATACAGCTGTATTTCAATAAAAATGAAATTGTAACTGCTTTGGCCCATGTCCTACAAATTTTTGTGAGCATGTCAGCATTAATGTGAGCTGCCTAAGTGGACCAGCAGGGCTGCTCTCCCACTACAGGACGGGGCCCCAGAGTTTGAGCTCACACTTGTGCTGTCAGCCATGGCTGCAGAGCGTGTGGGCACACGCTCACACTCATTTGTGTGCCTTCATGTCCCAGTGCATCCTGTRTGACCTAACACAGAGTGACCTCCCCGGCTGTTTGCCACTGACTCTGCCACAATACTGCAGCATCCAAGATCCCAGGCTGTATTTCACTTGGTGCTCTTTGTGCACCTCTCTGCTTTCACCCCTCTGTCTCTGGAGCTGGATATGAGCCCAAAGGCAGACTGAGCTTTCACATTCCTCCTTCAGTTTGCAGCTATGTCAGTAACCAGTGAAGTGCAAAATGAAGCAAGTATAYAGTGTCAGGAAAAAAGAGAATCAGAGGATGTCAAGAAGTGGGTAACCGAGGAAGTTTGTTGGGATAAGAGTCCCACAAAGGCACAGACCATGGACAGTTTACAACATCACATCAGCTAGTGAGTAAAGCTATTACTGAGGGAAGGAAGAAAAAATGTTCATAATCAATAGTTAGTCAAGGGCTCATGCCTCCTCAAAAAGACTTCATGCTATCATAGTATYTGGGGATCTGACAACACTTTTCTTCATATCAGTATCATGAAGGACTCCAGAGTGTCCCTYAGCACTGGCAGAGGGGCGAGCTGAAGGACCTACCTCCTTGTAGACTACTTTGTGTGAGCAGCTCTGTAAGTTCCTGTCATAATTTCCAGTGCGTGAGCTAACTTGTTTCCTTCTCCCCAGTTCCCCTGCTCATTTAAACATCTGTTAATTACAGTCAGATGCAGAGCCAGACTCAGAAAGGTTCTGGTTGCCTCCAGTGCTAACACTGGTGACAGTGGAGGGTGCTCAAAAGTCGGCACATTGATGCCTGTGGGTTTCAGGATAAMAGAATGTTTAGGCCAAGTAGTTTGCTAACACTGACGTCAAATCTAAGATGTGCCCATTGCTCCAGGACACTTTTCTCCGACTTGGACTTTGGCTAAAGGCAGAGTTCCTTAGCAAAAACATTTGGCATCCATAACTTTGGGGCTAAGAAACATGCCTTAAGCAGCAGGAGAGCAAGAAATGCTCCAGCTCCCTTGAAAGATGGGAGATTTAAACTCCTGCAACTTGCTCTGCAATCTCCTGCAATTACCAGAATGTAAAAGAAAATGAAGCACAGGCTTATGCTCCCCCAAGGAAATGAAATGATTAACCTCCATTTAAGACAATCAGATTGAAAGTGCCAGGGGAAAAACCAGAAGGTAGGCACTGCAATCTAGCTCTAATAAGTGTGAGATTTTTTCACATACAATTGAGGAATCAATTATCAACGTGAAGACATCTAACTGATGAGTTAGTTTGAAATMGCTGACAGTTGGCAGATCTGCCAACATGAAAGATAAATGTAATTAACTGTGTTAATTATTGCTCTGCACAAATTTATGCCCTCAGATTTCTGCGTTCACAAGATTTTGTGCATGCAGTGCTGTCCATCAGCAGAGACAGTGAGGGACACTCAGCACTGTCCTTCCAGCCTCATGCCTGTAATAGTCCTAAACATTTCAACCAGGCCAGTGGTGTGGGACAAAATCACTAAGCACTAACAGGTTCATATAAATATCTATGGTAGCCTAGGGGATTGCAGGATATTTTTGGAAGCTGAGATCAGTTTTTAGGTCCTGAGAATGTTTTTACACACATTGTGTTGGTGTTTAGACAAAACCTTGGAAAACAACCTCTCACCTTTCCATAGTAATGAAGCCTCGGTGCACTGAAATGGTGGCATGTYCCAACAGGTTACTCATTTGGACAATGAAAGCACAAGGATCCCTTTAAAGGATGAAATCCTAGACTCTGTCTGGGAAAATTACAGTGTTTTCCCCAAAACAGGCATTATTAAGAATTTGGGAGGCACTAARAGTATTTTTTTCCAGAAGCTAAGAGCTATTCCAGTGAGTCTATAAAACCTGATTTATTCCTAATGTGTGGAGATGAAGCAGTTACTGACAGAGGTGAAGTGGATGGGGTACAAACCARCCCTGGCATATCCAGATCCCCTGAATATGCCTGTTTCTAAATAAACATCCAACCCAGGTACAGAATCAGGCAACAGAGCTAAATGGCTCCCAGATTTTCCTACGATCAAGCAGATGTGAATCATAATCTTACTCAGGAAGCAAAAATTTTATGGAAATTGTATATCCCTGCCTGAACTTCAGATGCTCCATTTACTTCTCTCTTCCCTTATGGAGCATTTTTCTCTTCAGAAGGTCTTCCCACACCTTCCTCTTTCCCTCTGCTGACAACAGCTGTATTTCTTACACCTTGCCAACATCCCAACAGTTTTTTTTTGACAGTTAGCAAAAGTCAGATGAACAAGAKTCATTTGTGCTGTAGGCAAGTGCAAGAAAGTTCACTGCAAGCCACACCAAAGTTGAAATTGGTCTCCGGAGTGTAACTAAGAACTGGAAAAGAAAGTTAATTAACACCAGAAATATGAAAAAAATATGCCTTTTTCTATGCTTTAGCATTACTGATTAATATTATCAGTCTCATCCTGAATGTTTCTAGCAGGATATAGACTAGGACTTGGGACATCATTCTAAGGAGTGCAGAAGTCTCACTGCTGGGGACACTTAAATCCCAGATGAGCAATGAACAGGATAAAGCATGGAAAAGAAAGAGCCTGCAATGCATCTGTGCTGGGAAAGCTGACCTAACTGAGTTTCCTACCTCAGACATCCAAATAATCCAGTTAAATATGGGGGAAAAAATGAGCTGTTTGCCCCTGTGTGAAACAGTGAAGAGCCCAACGAGATGAATGAAGTGACTCACATCTCACTGTTAATTCTTTCACTGGTTCTCCAGTTAGGGTTTACAGAAAACTGCACAAGTGCTGTCTCACAATTAATTGATGTGTTCCCCACCTTTAATAGACCTATTCACAGCAGTCTTGGATAGCACAAGTGTTTTGTGACACTTATTCTCAAGCTGATGGCCTGGGCCCTRGCCCACTCAGGGCCACTGGGAGCTTTCTCCTTCCTACTCCAAGCACAAGTCAGATTCCTGGTCCAAAAGGCTGTACCAAACCTGGCCAGGATGAGGAGTAAAGAGCAGGACTGACAAAGGACCAAGAATATAACTCATGTCTGATATATGGAAAATAGATGTGGAAAAATCATCTTTTATCTCATCCTCTGTGGTTTGGGTGAAGATAATTTTAATGATTTAGGAACTTTGATCTTTTACAAAATAATATCTCTGCTTCATAACAATAGAGCATATGCTAAATGAAGTAAGAACTGGCTAAGTGACAGATTGGATACGCAACTGTCAACAGAAAACCATCACCGAGTGAGAATGCATTTGGAGAGATTCCAAAGGGATTAGTATAAGGCCCAGTGCTTTTCTAATTGATATGACAATAAATATAAAACCATTACTTAGAAAATATGTCTCTCCTGTAATGACATTAAGTAGAKAGTGCAGTTGTATCGAGCAACATAGGGTACTTGCTAAATTAGTATAATTCAAACAAAACAAATCATAAACCAGCTAAACCAAAAACGTAGGAAGAAGAAATGCAAATTGCACCTGCAGGATGGCAGACTACATACTGAAATAGCCCAAGAGGAGTTTATCGGGTGAAAGTGATAGAAAATTTCATAATGCAACCAGTGGAATAAAAGCAGATTTAGGGGTAARGAGAGTGCTACTGCTCAAGCAGCAGCAGTGAGGAGGATGTCTGAACACAGCATCCAAAGCTGGGTACCCTGGCTGTCAAATAAAAATGAGTGTTTAAAATAACAGAAAGGGAGCCAAACAGAGTCAGTAAATTAATCAAATCCTGAAGAAAATGCCTTCCAATTAAAGACTCAATCCTTTCAGTTTATTATAACGAACACTGAGAAAATCTGGTAGAAGTGAGATGACCTGGATGTGAGGCAAAGATAGTGGATGGGAAACAGCTATCAGAGAGCAGCAGAGCAAAATCCAATCACCAGAGGATAAAGCTAGATTAGCTTTAGTTATGAAACACAGAGTTTCCCTTTTCAAAAGAATAAATAAATCAGAGCACAGTATTGAGAGAAACTATCAGAAACGCCTGTTGTGTGGTTTCTTCAGCAAAAGACCTGATAACTCTCTGGAGGGTAAGGGGCAGTCAGATACAAAGACTAGCTGTGGGATCAACACCAGGGTAACTGAATGAAATGGCCCATGCTGCACAGGAGCCCAGACAAGATTATTTATCACATCTCCTTCCCTTAAACTTCAGGAAGGCCAAAGCAGAGAAATTAAGAGACTTTAGGAGAGGTGCCTGTTGTGCAGCAGTCGCATGTTTTACACAAACAGGTATCAGGGGTGTAATTCTAAGCAGGGCACCTCACAGTGCTCTGCAGCAGGRTGAGTGGGCTCAGGAGAGCCAGGAGGCTGATGGCCATCACAGGCAGTGCAGGTTCTCTCTGACTGTTACGGCTTCAGGCTGATGTGCTCCTCCCAGAACACCCTGCTCCTTTCAAATGCTGCCTKCAGGCTTTGAAGTCTCACAGACACAGGCACAGAATCAGATGTGCTGCAGTCTAATTAATTTCAGGCTGACATTTTATTTACGACTACATGGTGTGGTTTGGCTTTCATCGGCTTTGTAGATGTGATACTCTTAACTTGGCAGCTTTTAACTTAACTCYGCTCTTCAAGAGGCATAGCCTGATCCTTTTGACTGTGATTCTAAGGATGGTGCTATTAAGGAGCTCAGGGAAACAGAACAGATTGCAGGGAACCATTGCTTAATATGGGTCTCATCAATTAAAACAGGTAAATATTGGGCACAGAATCATATCTGTATCACATGCTTGTTATTTATCTGTCAGGGTAATCATCTAGATCACATCAGTGTAACATACCACCCAGGCACAGATGAAAAACTAGAATTCTCTCTTCCTTTTTCCTGGAGAATTATCTCCATTAAGAAAATAATATGCTTTCATTTTTAGACAGACTTTCTTATGCCAAAGGAAGAGAGGGAGTGCCAACAGAGAATGCAGATGGGAAGTTAAGATGAGGAGAACTATGCACTGGACTTTGCATATGTTGAAAATAGAGATCATTTTTAGTACAGAGCATTTATTAAATAGCTAACAGCTTTRGAATCTGTGAAATAGCACCAAGTAAGACCACATGATGGTAGGAACCTCATTAATGTAGGCTGTGTCTGGACTGTGTGCTCTGGAGTATGTCCTGCACTCCTGGTCTCCTCACGGTCCTCTTCCGACCTGCCCATGAAGTGCAAKGACCATTTTTTGGCTAGAGTTCCTGCACTTTCTGTTCAGGGGGACCAGGGTGTGGAGGTGAGGAAAATTATGCACATCTTATACCTTTCAATCCAAACTCTTTGAAGTGTGTGGCTGGGAAAGACCAATTCATTACCTATAGAACAAGCCTGCTCCAAATGAGAACATTGAGCTTTCAAGGTGTAGGCAACACAACCTAACCCAGCCCAACCCATTCCAATTCCCATTCCAATTCCCTCATGCACTTATGGCCCATCCCTCTCTGTGATTGCCTTCCACAAATGAGTGATGTGAAGGATATTTGGCTCATCTGCTTCCTCTGCCATGCAACTGTGGTTTGTAGACTCTGTCAAACCATGGACTACGACTTCTAATGTTAGAGCTGCATAACACATACATGGTTCTGGCTTCTGCCAACCAGCACTCTCTCAGACCATGCCTGATCACAGTCCAAAGGATTACATGGACCACTGACTGTCCCCAGCTGGTATGATTCTAATATGATTCTAATCTTTCCTGCAAGGAAAGGTTTGGCTTTATGAATGTGACCCACGATCTGCCAGGTGGCCTCATGGGTCAGAAAAAGCATYGTGGTCTGTTCCAAGCAGCAGAAACAAGTCTTGAAAGGCTGAYTGAAAAACCTGCCAGCTGTCCAAGTGACACAGCTGTGTCTTTCACAGTAGCCAAATCCTGACTCATCTCACCAAGCTTGTGCASGTAACAGGTAGGGCTCTAAACTTCTACAGCAAATGGGTAGAGAAAAAGACATCCTGTTGAGGTTCAGTCCCTGTAAGTTCTACACCCATGAGTCACCCTTGTGAGATGCCTGTAGTTAAAGAGCTAGACAACCTCTTAATGTTGGACCCTTGACTTTTAGACACTTAGATGTTGGCAAGACTAATTCTACCTTTAGAGTCTCCAAGGGCCAGATCTACTGCAGTAGCTYCTTACCTCACTGACAGGGATAAGTTTAATTTTCAGCCAGACCAGATAGAGACATCATTCAGAATGCCCAAAATGGTTTTGGTTGGTACCCAGTGTTAACTTAGTGCAGCCTTACGCTATCACAGGGACACTTGTTACCAAATGTCTTTGTGTATTCCTCTACATAACAGTCTATCTTGTTCCCACCTACACATGACATTATAACTATTTTGTCTGGTGTAGGACACCCAAAATCATTACCCAAGATGGCTGGGAAAAGTGCTGATTTTGGCTAATAGAGGAAAAACATCAGTACAAACCCATATTCCTTTGGATCATCATACACTCCTTAACTCTTGCTGGGAAATAGCTTCGGTTTGAGAAATTGAGGAGGTCAAAGCAGTATTTGTTCTTCCCCACATCAAACAGAGTGCAGTTAAATTCTGTCCTGTTGTCTCCTGGGTGAAGGGTGTTTTCATACAGCCAAGTTGTTCTTTGACTTGAATACTTGAGGGCTTCTTTATAAACAACAATTTTTCCACTGATAGAAGTGCACGGTGGAGAGACTAYGAACACCTGAACCAAAGTTTTGCATGTGGCTTCTGCAGCCACAACCAGTCTGTATCCAAATTTGTGGAGGAGATCTACAGGTCCWATGGAGGCAATGATGGAATGTGTTTCTAATGATTTCAGTAACACAGTGATGTATATTTCTTGACCAACAGGTGGGCAATCAAACTCTATCCATTGGGACCTAGATAGGGGGATTCCTTTGCTAGTTCTAATGCCCAGAGTTTCATCAGAGCTTAGTCTTCTGAATTCATAAAGGGTGCTAGTGAATATCACATCCAGTGAAATCACAGTCTTGTTCATGGCACACAACTGCTCATTTGTAAAAAGTCCAACCTGAAGGGAGCTTCCATGCACCTCTGAACTCCTATTCAAATCAATGTGAAACACAGGCCATTCCACATGGAGGGCGGACATGCTGCTTCTGCTCCACTGGGCAGCACTGCTGTTGTCACTGGGAGAGACCATTCTGAACAAGAAGTCACCAGCACTCTTGAAATGGAAACACTCAAACACCACCGTCCCCTGGGACTGATTTGCCAGAAGCTGTTTTCTTGCAATTATCTCATTGGTGCTGGCATCCAGTAAAAGGATAGACACATTTTCTGCTGTCACATTACCACCACCATAGTACTTATATTCCACAGACACTGTGTCATTGCTGAAGGCTACATGATCCGGGTGCTCCAACAGGAGGTACTCCACTTCACCGAGAACTGAAAGGAAAAGTTTCACAACAGTAATAAGAAATCAACAGACAAGTGATTGTTCATCTRCCCTCTAGATGAATATTTTTTATTATGGATATTTTTTAAATGGATATTAAAAGTGGTTCTCAATCTTTTTCAAGTGMATCAGTTCACAAAAAAAGAAAAGGTCTTAGCAACAGCAGTTAGAGCTCAACACCTCTGTGCAGGGATGRGATTTGGAGCAGCTCAAAGTCCACTGTAGCCTTTTAGGAAGGCAAAACCCAGTATTTTCAAGCAAAACACAAACCACCCAAAAGATTAACAGAAAACTTAATTTATCAGTACAGWTTCTCAAACTTTTCAACTTCTTGCATTTACAGATTATTAAACTCCACTTCACGGAGGCCMGCTGTTTTTCTGCTTCAGCTATAATTTAGTAAAAAAAGCACAGTGGCTTCTTATACGGATACATGAAAAATGTCCCCCAAGTTAAACAGAATAGGAAGTCTGCATGATGCTTTTTGAAGCCTCTTCTCTTGCTCTGTCTTATGAATCTTTCATATTCCTCATTTGCATCACAGACACTTGAGTGAAAGAGCTGAAAATAACAGTGATAGTGACTGCAGCACTTTTCTTGTCTCAGATATGGTGCAACATGTCCAAATGACATCATTTCATTATAAATGGTGCAGTCTTTTCAAATTCACTTCTTGCATGACCATGTTTATGCTAGTTGCCAGATTATCCTGAGACATGTTGTAACTAGAGATGATATCTACAGCAATAAATTGGGAAGATTACATTTTCATTCTTAKCTCGGCTACCTTCTCTGTGTTGCTTGAACCTTAAGGATTTCAGACACAGAAAAGTTATCTGAAAAATGGGAACTGCATACATCTATTACAGATGAAGAACGTGCTGTGAGACATCTTTATTTAATTAATTGTCTAGGAAAAGGCTTCTGAGTCTTGGATGGAAGGTGCCACCAAAGTGTAAAACTTCAGTTAAAGCAATCCTTTCATAAGTAGCATCAACTAACAATACTTTGACTTGTTAAATCTGTTACATGTCTTAAGATTACCTCAAAGAAAGCTTTGCTGGAAAAACACTGCAACTGCCAAGGCAAGCACTCAGCAGTCATGAGTAGCAGGACTCATCCCACATAATATTAGACCYCTACTACTCTAAGCTTCAACTGGAGTTAGTCACCTTGGATTCACTTTCTTCTCAGCAGGGAAAACTTTCAGGAAGAAATTCATCTGACTGGCTACAGACATTTGCATCAGGGTGGGATGCAGTGTGCACTAGAAAAAAAAGAGCCTATTACTTGCTACCAGCTATAACATGTCCTTAAAATAACCAGCACCAACCACATACATAAAGTCCGAATAAAGGTGGCATGCACAGCTTTATACACATAAATCATGCATATACTCTTACATATATGTACTATAACTCAAGACTTTCATTTGCATTTCCAAAAGACATTGCTTCACTTGGCAGATGGATGGTGCTCATTACCAGAGAGTTCTTTTGTTCTCATTCTTCTATGGGTGGTCCTATGTGTAATTGACTGCACACTGTCCAAAATCCATCCTGATAACACAGAATTATTTATTTCCCCTATGGACTCTTCTATTGTGYTCTTATTGYAGTGTTTTAGTGCATTAGTAATACRAATGAATTTGTCCTTCTAAAATCCMTGAAAAATTAGAGGACGTCACTATTCTTGTTTAGTRTTTTAGGAACCAAGGCACAGGCACAAAGGTAAAAGCTGTCAAGTATCAACTGATTGTGGTGCCCTGTGAAAGCAAGAACATGATTTTAAATACAACGGTGCTTCAGACATCCAAAGCAGGATCCCGTTGATCCCACCTGTGGTGAACACATGGCACCACATCAAACCCGATCTGAACTTGGACACCAGAGAGTAAGAAACAGACCTGAAAAGCCTGTAAAAAATGTCTCTCTGAACTTCTCAACAACACATTCTCCTTGCTCTTCATGTTTTGGTTCTGTCATGTGTGCCTGCCCATATTTCACAGTCCTATTCCTACTACCATGTTCTTTCAGCTTCTCTTGGGTACTAGCTTAACTCCATTACTGTTACCACAGTTATCCAAACTCCTGCCCTCTTCTCTTTGCCTTACGGATCTTTTATCTTCTGCTGTTCCTCAGACTTGCAGTTAACTCCAGCACGTTCCCACCTTGYTGCTCAGTGCTAGTGTGACATCGGGGAACACAGACAATAATGTTAAGGAATTCTTGCCCTGGGCTGGAGCATACACAGGGTTGTGTGGGGCTGGCAAGAGGAACCAGCAGGAGTCGGGGCACACTTCACCCTTCAGAGAATCTCACCACTAAGTCATCTGTGAGGATTTAGATCTGGACCAGTTCTAGGCAACTCTTTATAAGGACAGCAGAAAGCATGTCCCAGGCCACTGGGAGCACAGTAATAAAGTTCCCACACCTGTGTTAAGAGTTTTCCAGTGAAATGGTTGTGAGTTGCTAGGGTTTTGTTTCTCTGATAGTGGGCAAAATGATGCATTTCTCTACACACCAATTGGCTAGATTCAACTTAGCTGAAACATTAAAGGAAATCAGACCTTGGCAAAAAAAACAGCATGAAAAATTTCAATTTTAAGCTTTGAACTTACAACAAAAACATTCAAGCGATAGCAATGAAAAGCACTGATGTTTGTGCCTACTGCTTTATTGTCCTTACTCACTTTTACAATTGTCCTGACCCTCTTGCACTTTTTTTTTTTTTTTATTTTGAATGGCTGAGACGAGGTGATACACTCCTCTGTATGTGGGAGGGAGAATGGAGAGAGGGCTGGTGTAGTTTCCACCAACCCCAGTGCAGACCACTCAGGAAGTGAGGAAAGTGAGCATTACTGGAGAATGCTGTTACAGCACTGCAGAGCTCTGGCTGGTGCACCCCAGTTCACTGTATCCTTTCCCCCATGTTTGGTAAATAAGAACTGTGCACTTTTGGACAGCTTACATAGCAGTTTTTCACACTGCTCCAAAAGACACCAGACAGGAGGAGCCAGCTCCCACTGCAAGCTCCTTCAGCTGCCCCCCAGCCTACTCGGTGCCCATGACTCTGCCATGTGCCAATTGTTTGGACAGCCAGTCAGGGGCATCTTTCAATGCATTTGTAACATTTTTGTTGTCATTACAATGGTCTCCCATTGAAAGAAGTCTGACTGTGGTACCAACAACCTGCCAGAAGAGTCCTTGTAAGAATTCACAGAAAGATCAGAAGAAAAACCTTCATTTTCACTGAAGAGCAAGAAGAATTACTTCAGGGTGCTATTCAGATAGCTATTTACAAGTGTGTTTAAGCCAGCTTGGGTTGTGCTGTTAGCTTGTCAGCCACTGGTAACACAAGGCTAAGTAGAACAAAAACATCAGTAAAACTGATAAGAAATGAGAATACTGTTTAGTTGAATGTTAGGGCTTTTTTTAGCACTTCAGTAATTTTCCAGAGCATACTGGATCACTTATAAAATAGTCTTGGTCTGAAACAGAGAACTATATGAGTAAAATACCTATCTAAAATCTATGTACATAGTAATATTCAAAGATGCTTCTATGGATAACTGTTTGGAAGCAATTTTCTGAATTATGCACTGCCCTTTAACTGGAAATAAGGCACAAGTTGATGCATCTAAAGCTTGCAGCATAGATTTAGCTTATTAACTGTACCTTGTAATTACTTGCTGTGCCACGCTCTATAAAGTGCATGAATAATGGCTTTTACCTCTGAGTCAATCAGTTGTGAATGTCTACAGGTCTGGCTCACTAAGATGCAGAGGATATTGCAATCATTCATCTTACTTCTTGGCTCCAGCGAATGTAACACTTACTTTCACTATGTTACCCACTCAGAGCAGTGTTCTGACCTGGGCTGGTTAACTASCTTATTAGAAGAAATGGTACTAAAAAGCATAGGCAAGAGCCTTTACTTCTACTGGAATCAAGTTAATCTAAAATATGGCAGTTGTTGGTTCTCTATGTCTTTTAGTGATTCCTTTTTTCTGGAGCAGAGATGGAGCATGCACAGAGGAATAAGTAGCATACTTACTTATTCAGTCACTATTTATAATCAGATTTTTCTCACTTATACAAGGACAGCAAACTGCATACATTTTTGTCCATTTCTCTCTTCTGTAAGACATCTTCAGCTTTTTGGTGCGTGAACCACCCACTACCATAGCTCATTCCGTAAGTGGGGATTAACCACTCCTTTTCCCATGTTTTCCATGTTGTACTCATTTCTGCAGTACACGGCTTAATCCTCCAGTGTGGTTTCACAATGTATTGCAGCTATCAGAACAATGCCTGCTTTTAAACTGGGAATGAAATTTTCTAAAACATATGAATTGTTTAAGAATTAGAAGTCCYATTTTCAGAATTTCTAATTCACTTTGCAATAAGAAAATAATCTGCAAATCTACTTCCTACTTAGTACATTCTTGGAAAGGATAAGTCAGCTGCATATGATGCCCCTCAGCTTGTAGACATCTTGCAGTAGTCTGACTTGAATTTAGGATGTCTAACTTCCCTCCTCAGCAACTTTTGGTGAGAAGAGATGCTTTTTCATTCTGCACATCTCAGTTGCAGATGCGCAAGAGCTGCTTTCAATATGCACTGATTTGTGCATGGCCTACTCAAACAAGACTGTTTGTCTCTCTGACTACCTGCCTAATTTTATGTGACTAAGATTGAATGAGTATGAACACCATCCTTTACCTCCTTATAAGGGCAGAGGAAAGAATACATCTGTTATTTTCAAAAGCTCTCAGGTAGCAGCTTAGATCCATCAGATGGGGGCTCACTCAGCTGTAGGAGGTTGGCTGTACTATTGGCTTACATATGAGCCAACTATTCAGGTTCCTTTCCTAGCAATGGAGGGAAACAAGTAGATCTGCAGGACAGTTCTACCCATCTTGCTATGGATACCTRAAACAGGCCAATCTTCCATGATGTTCATTAAATATCACTAAATCCAAGTCTTACAAGAGAGCAGAGTTTCAGTTACTGCTTCTAGCACAGCCAGTCCCTTGATGCCCATGGAAATTTGTTCATTTATCTTGCTTATTTTTCTGAGCAAATTTACAGCACTAAAGGTTCCTGCCATTCTGGTCTAAAGGGGCAGTTTAYGCAAGTTGCATTTTCCACCCAACTGTTACATAAGATCTAGACTAAATTCTGTACACATCAGTGGTGGTATTTCATTTCAACAGATCACCTGGAACCATCACCATCCAAAACCACCTTGTGAATGCACATGGCAGTTTTCCTTTGACAGGTCTAATACTCACCATAGTCACAGAGCACTACTAACAATAGATTGGAAAAATCTTTCAACATCTGTTTCATTCTGACCAGTGAGATGCCGGGTCTTTTTACTCTTCATGTCCTTTTTCAGCTCTTAAGTGCCAGCACGTTTTCCAAGAACACCTAAAAGTTAAAAAATTACAACTGTGTGAACTTCGTTTCAGAAAATACAAGAAGAAGACATCCCATTCACAAGTTTAAAAAAAAAATAATCAACTATTAACATTTTGTTCCCATTTACTTGACAATTACTAACACTRTATCAATGCATCTGGATAAGCACAACTGCAACTCACTGCACTATAATGTTCCATCCTCAAAAGCAGCTCCTGAGCCAGAACAACAAAGACATGTAACAACATTTTTATCTTTGCACTGCAGGAATTGCTGCTGTGCATGACTTATGACCAAGGCTCACAATAGCAAAATAATGAGTATTTTATACAAAATATAACTCTGAGCTCAGTGCATACTGATATTGGAGATTTATTGTTGCTAAACATTTCATATCATTTGTCAGCTGCTTTCAAATATGAAAGCAGCTCAGCAGTAAATTACTTTTCTGGTCATCGAAGTCCTCTGTTATTCAGGTCTAGTAATATACTTAGTGATGTTATCAGATTTCTAAAAGATCCATAACTGCCTTTTATGTCATTCACACGGATCAGATGGAGAAGGTGCTAATTTCCCCTTTTTCCTCCACAATTTTTAACGTTTACATTCACTACAGCCTTGGCTAAGCAAGTAGAAACAGACCTCTTTTGGCAAGTTTCCCAGTTTTATGTCCATGTGGTTTAAACTCATCTTTATGAGTCTCGTAACAATTACATAAAATAGGTTGGAAGTACAATGATAGCAGCAAAAGCAAATTGTTTCCTTCAGAAACATAAGTAGAAGGGAATCTAAAAAGTTAAATTCTACTAAAACGCTACTCCATTTCAAAATACAAGAATTGCTATTCTGTGCTTCCCAGGAACACCTACAGGCCAATGTCACCATGCCCACCATCACAGAWACACAAAAGAAAGGTCTTGATCCATTAAGTTTACAACATAATTTTATGAGAGAAATCTGGCACTGGAGCTGACAGAAGTTAGGAATGAGCAAAACTGGAAGATGATTGCAAAACATAGGAACCAAGTATGGCAAAGATCATATATGTCTTTAGGAATCACAAATGAGATATTTCAACAATTACACTGCTCAGCTTGTTGAAGAAAAAGCCAGCAGACGTGTTACTTGAAAGCTTTTTGAACTGCTCTCTGTGCCAAGTGGCTGGAGAGAATAATTTCTAAGAAAAGACTAACAGCACAGCCTTGCTCAGTAAAAGCCCATTACAGTAATAGCTGCACATATCTGAAAGGAATAATCATCATCTGGCCCAGGAACTTGACAGGGCTCCAGAAAGCATTAGATAGGGACAGTGATACCGCCACCACCCTCAGCTTCACTTGATATGCTGTAAATTACAGGAAGACAAACCTTACGCCTCAGGAGAGGGGCGGCTGCTAACGGAGGGCGGTGGGGAGTCGGCCTGCCTCCAGGGACAGCCGCTCCCTAACTCCCCCGGCTGCCAGCAGCAGGCACAGCATCACATCGGGAACATAATTCTTTGCCGGTATTGTTATTGATCACCAATCAGTTAATCGGAACAAGGAATCAAAGTAGTCCAAAGACAAAGCAGGTTTTGTTAAAAAAACCCGAAAAAACTGTGATAGATGGCCTCTAGCATTAACTGCTCAAAGAAAATAGAAAATATGTGGCATTGCAGTAAACTGCCCTGAAACAGAGGGGGAAAATTGCTTTGTGGGCCACTACCATGATTGTGCTGGATGACTTTAATGGGTCCTTTCCATTCCTAGCTTTCTTAGCTGTGGGTCCTTCAAATGGCTTTTAAAAATACTTCTTTCCAAAAGTCACACTCTGATAGATGAAGGTCAAATAATCCTAATCTYAGTCTAATGAGCAACACAACACACAGAGGAAATGAAGCTATGGAAGGGAGAATAAATTATCAGGAAAAAAGAAAAAAAGCCTATGTAGGAGACCACTCTTGAGTTAGCTGCCTTASGTCTTAATTTGCACATCAGCCCAACCAAGGAAAAAGCAGCATGGTTCACGAGACAGGGTGCCAGCAGGAGGCACAGGGACCAGACCTGACTTCTGTTCCTATTCCTGCCACCACCAGACATAATGTCAGCAAACTGCAGCATTAATCTGCTCCCCTCCTTTCCACCCCATCTTTCATGCTCTGTTTTTATAGTAAAGACTTTTCAGGACAGAGACTCTTTCTAACCAAGCCCGTGGATGGAGCCCAGAGCCAGAGCCCTTGGGTGTTTTGGTAACACCAATCATTTGTCAGACCAAAACCTCCTTTCCCCTCACCCTTCCTTCTTTGTTATCTTGGCTTGCTTGGGAAAAGATTCCGGTGTGCAGTGAGGGTAACACCAGGCTAGAACTAGAGTATTTGAAACTGTACCAAAACTAACTTCCAATTAGTGACATCAGGTACCTCTGGAAGCCTAGTCCAGGGCTACTTCACCCTCTGCACGTCTCTGCAGCAACKGGATTGCAGCAGGAGCCCTCCCACCTCACACACATACAGCTACTTCACGCTGCCAGCTGCAGTACAGCCCTGCCTTGGAACAAAACTGCAATTAAAGTGCTCCATGAAGTCTCCCTGAGTTTTTGCACATTTGCTAGCTGAATTCCAATAGCATCTCTAAATGCAGAAGTGCCAGCCCATTTCTGATGTAGTACTGTCCCCCTTCTCTTCTCTTTCCACACAGGTTTTCCCTGGTTCACTTTTCCCTCCTTTTGCCTCATCTCAGTTTTGGACAGGCCTTACACAAACTCAGTTCAGAATTTTCCTCTCTCCTCTCTGTCTTCTCTAAGCCAATTTATTTCTAGATCTCATTCTTAGGTCTTCTTCCAAACTCTCTATATATTTGCCCCCGCTCAGTTATTTTTCCACTTTTCACACTCATATAAAATTTTGCTTTTTGAAGCAGACAGTACATTTAAATGGTTTCTACTCTATTCAGATCTTCTACCTCAAGTTCATTAACTTAATGAGATGAAAAGTGATGGAACAGAGAAGGCTATCACACTTCAAATAATTGGCTTTTTAAATTTATTACTCTTGTGGAAAAGCATGAACTGAGGSTCTATTGTGTGAAATGCAGCAGAAGCACAGCAACATAAAAAAAAAGATGCTTTCTTCTTGTAAGAGACATTGTAATGGCTGATTGGAAGTGGAAGACTTCCTCTCCAAAGGGAATTCAAAATGACAGATGAGGAGGGCATAAGCCATAAAGTGCTTTGGATGTGAAGACCAAGAGGCTTGTGTGCAACGCAAATGACACGGGAAAACTTTTGAGTCCCTGCCCTGCAGCAGATTTCCTGTGCAATATTGGTCACGTCTCGTAGTTTTCCTGTGGCATCTCCACTGAGAGAGTATCTCACTATCTGCTACGAGTGCTACAAGAGTAAATCCTCATGATCTGTGAGGTTTGCAGGCATCACAGTGTCATGAACCATGTAAAAGCCAAACATGAAATTTGACATTGCACTTACATTTTTTTGCAAATAAGTAACAGAATAGGTTACAATATTGTCTATTCGAATCACATATATTAATCTATTCAAAAAAGTCCCTATTTCTCTACATCACTAAAATCATAAAGTATTTAGTGATCATTTTGGTTTTCCAAAAAATACCCCTAAAATAAACTAACCAAGCCAACAAAAAAACCCAAGAAAACTTGATTTATGACTCCTAGTACTTTTTGCAGCAGCATCCAAGGCTGCAGTGTAGACAAGACRTTTCAGACACCAGCCACGTCTTCTGAGAGCTGTCACCTGCTGATTTAGCAGTTACCACCTTCACCAACTGCAACAGCACACCATTCAGTGCCTACTCCCCSTTTATAAGGGAGATGAGAGGCAAATAAGCCTTGTAGCTAAGAAAGGGCCGTCAGGAATTAATCGGACTCTCCATGACCAAGCACTGAGTTTAATGAGAACATAAACCCACAGCACTCAGAACCACTGTGCTCTGGAGCCTCATTCATGCAGAGGAAAGTGCCACTGATGGATCCCGTATTTCATCTACCCACAAGTACCCTCAGTCTTCCTCCTCTTTGCAAATCTCAGGCAAGAGCTGARCCCTCCCCTGACCTAGTTCCATCCTCCTTCAGTAACAGCCCTGTCCTTGCTCATCCTTCCTCTGAGCACAGCCCTACCCTCTCCTTGCCCCGCCAACCCCACAGCTCCAGGTGAAGCCATGGCACAGAACCCCAGTGATTTAGGGCTCATGTGAGAACAAGGTGGGAGAAGGGCTTAGGGAAGGAATAAGTGTGTGTGGGGTGGCAATGCATCAGAGGAATGATCCTCTTGGAACCAACCTGCCCCTACCCCRAGCTCTGCCCCAAGCAACAGCACCTACCCCAGGCACTCTGATGAACTCAGCAACCAGGGTCTGGATATTTAGTGGAATTTAAAGCAAAATGTTGACAGAATTAGAGAGAAAAAAAATCCTTTATAGCTGTTCACTAGTAATCATTTTTCAGTTGTATTTGCAACCCAAGAGCTGCACAATTCTGGCTATGCGTGAGAGGCTGACAGCAAAATAGGCTAGAGAAGGAAAAGCCTGAAAGTCCCTAAATTCTCCCTACATTTCACAATCAGCACTAACAGCAAAAAGAAATGTGTATCTGCAACATCTCCTCCAATGTAAGGTATTTTATCTGTACGTTGGAAAAGAGATTAATTATTTTCAACCAGCATATGCTTACTGCAATGGGATGAGGCAGCTATTGAAGTCTTACCACCTGCTGGGAATTTCAGAACTTCCCATATAATCTTTCTGCTTTGACATTAAAGAAAGAACACCTCAGGTATGCATCACATTTTATCAAAATCTAATCACTGCTGACCAGCCAGAGTGGTCAGGRCCAAAAAAACACCACTTCTTGGAAGATACTGAGTTTAGGCAGGAAAGCATCAATGTGTTGTCTGCCACAGCAGGGGGCTGGAGCTGACATCCTCAAAGGCCTCTTTCATTCTTATTTACACATCCGACAATTTTACATTGTTATCAGATAATGACTTTATTAAAATTAGGCATCAAAATTCACTAGGCTGAAACTGACAGCATCAGATCCGTGTGTAAGAAAAAAATCATACCTAGCTGGTAAAGCCTATTTTCATTAATATTTGGGGTCAGATCTCACAAAATCCTTGGATTTCTCAGCTCCTTTTGATATTAACATAGCAATTGAAGAGTAAGCTGGCCAGCAACATTTGTCCTTTGAAAYGGAAGGGCTTACAGAAGACAGAGTACATGGATGATATTTACCTTGGAAAATGTACAGTGAAAATAAGTTTATTAAGCATAAGGAGATTTGGGAAGATGTTTGAGCAATGATAAATAAAGAATGCAAAGAATTAAATACATTAGATGAGACCATATAGCATAAAGGAAGGAATGCAGTCATCCATTCTTTCCTTTCCTCTTCGGAGATTTTATAAAAAATACGTATCTATTGTCCACTGCTCCTGGSAKTCCCCTTTTGGTGGAGCTTCTAATGAAGATCCTAGTACGAAGAAGATAAATGGCACAGCTGATACAATCAAAAGTTTRTTAGAGAAGCAGGTCTGAAATACCATGAAGTATCAGCATTAAAAAGATAATTGGGAAGTTTCTCCTACGCTTGCCTTGTACTCAAACGGTTTCGACTGGTCTAGTGAGCGATATAAAGTAGAAATCACCAAACATACTAAAAACCACTATAATTATTCCTACCTATCACTGACTCGGGTGACGAACGCGGGCAGTCGCTCCCTGTGCTGATGCTCCCGGCACTTCGGGAGCGCTGGAGCACCGGGGCTCCGGGCGGGACGGCCGCTGCCTCCGGGGCAGAAGCGAACACAGGGAAGATCTGGGCAGAGGCAAACCCGTGTCCTGCCGTCACACGGGTGTTTTAAAGCACCTCCAGGGCCGCGCGTCACGGCGATCACGGCGCGGTCCCGCGGCACCGCTCGCTCTGACCGACGGCTCTCCCCTCCCGTGCCCGCCGGCTCCGCGCCGACGGACGCCACCCGGCCGGTTCCGAGCCCGCGGCTGCCGGGGTTCCTCACCGCCCCACCCTTCGGCACACAGAGGCCCGCCAGCGCCCCGGGACCCCCGGGCTCCGCTCTCCCTCCGCCCGCCCCGCGCTCACCTCCACGCTGCGGGCGGAGCGGCCCCGGGTCGGGGACAGAGCGCGATCCTTGCCGTGGAGGAGCCGCCGCCGGCGCTGCCCGGGGCGGCGGACGGGCGCGCACTGCCCTGCGGCGGCGGCGGC